GGAGACCACCAGGACGACATTTTGCATCGACCAAACGACGATCGCCTCGATACGCTGCTGGAACATCCGTATATCCGGTGTCCGTTAAACGCGGACTCTTCCCCCAGAAGAGAGAGTCTCTTCTCCTTCGTCGATCGAGGAAGCGGGGACAATAAATAATTCAGGAACAAGTTGAAACGCCAGAGTCACCCACCTGGTCCAGACTGATGCGCCTCTCGGTGATTCGCAAACATCTCCCTCGTCGAAGAAGAGCCGGGAAATCGCCTGGACGCTGAACCAACTCGAGAATCCACGGGCTTCTCCGTAAATTCTTGGTCGAAAGGAAAACAGAACACGGCAGCCAAGATGCCGCGCTGTTACATGGTGAAGAAGGCCCTGTGCAACAAGTATATAAGCAGCGTTGCCAGAGGATTCGAAAGCTGGGGTCGTGGAAGGAGCACGCCATCGCCAACCACCATGCAGATACCGGTCTCGCCCATAGAAGGGAGCGTTGCACCCCCTGTTGCTCAAGGTACGACCAACCACTAGCTATCCTCTTACGATTATAACCCCTGCAACGATAATTAAACCTGTTACTCTTATGCTTCGTGATGGATAGATTTATAACTCGATCCATTATCAATCCACTCACGCCTCGTTCCATCTTCTTTCTATCGAATACTGCAAATTATTTCAAATTCAATTGCAACTCTCTTTATGCAACTAATATAAAAATGTACGTAAATGAGTATTCAAGCGTGAAATACGCAATTTATGCCTCAAGTGTTCCTCACGTGATATGACGCTAGGTCAATCACTCTATTTGATAGCGTAGGTACATGCGTTTTACTACTAGAACTTGCGTGGGTCCTATGACTTAACACTGTAGCGTGAATCACAACAAATTAATACTTGGTTACTCGCGTGATTTAACACTTGAGTGGCTCTTTAACACTTTAAGTGTGGGTCACTCACACACTTCAATAAGCGTAAATCATTCACGAGTTTTAATACGTAAGTCATTCAACACCGGAGTGTACGTTACTGATGCAATTAAATATTTTAAGTGTGGGTCACTCACGTGTTTCAACATATAAGACCACTTCCGCAATTAAAGCTAAGAAAATTTAATACTGAAGTACACTTTAATATTAAAGTGCCATCGATCAAACAACATAGATCACACAATACATAGGTCATTTCGAAACGTAGACTCGCATGATCGAGTGTTAAGGAGTACACGTTCTTCGGGGTTTCTTGCAAGGAGAAATATAGAAAGAGATTGGGTCATCAATTATCGTGAGCGAAGAATAATGATCAATATTTTAGCCGCAGCTATTACGTTCAATTAATGCGAATGTTGCTATTTGTTCCAAATGTCCGTGGTATTGATTCACCCTCTAGCCATATATCGTTCGTCCCGTGTCGGCGCGCTGCAGGAGCGAGCGTTTCGTCGCAGCAAAGAAAAACCTACGAAAATCGTCTGCTGTATTGAAATATTTCAGGCATCACGCGAGCATTGAATCGAATAATTCTTATTCAAAATTGAAACTTTCGACATGCTATTCAATTATCAATTAATATAACATCGAACCAATCCGCTTCTTTTTCAAATTTTCTGTCGAAATTCTATTCAATATTGCATTACAAGTTTGTTAGTTACGTCACGTACATTTATTAAAGAAGTAAAAACACGCGCTCGAAAATTCAATTATTCTTCATCCTCGTACTTTACAAAATGAAACCCGGTGAAATTTCGTTTGGCGAGGAAAAACGAAACAAGCTTGTCTAACCATGAAGCTTATATTATACCGGCAAAAAAAGGATGGTGCTCGAGGAAAAATGTAAACGAAGAGGCGCGAAACGCTCGCGATACGTCGCCGAGGTGGCAATTTCTAGCGACGACGGTGCAATTCGCGGTAAACGTGTTACTCGTCGCGGCAAAGCTACATTAATTGTCTGAATTGTCGTTCCCGGTAGCGGCGTTTCAAGCGACGGCCCCGTTTTGTAAGGCTCGGTTTATGCTTCGTGTTCATAATCGAGTGAATGAGAAAGTGTCATGCGAAACTTGTGTCGGAGACATTAATGGAGCTACAAAGACCGCACTTAAGACTCGTTACAATGCCTGCACACGCTTGCGGCACTGTCGGGAAACCAGGCCAATCGAACGAGAATAAAGATGATATTCGTCGAGAAAATTACGCGACGCTCTATCGACGAAACATAAAGATACTCCGTACCGGGTCTTAATTAAAATTTAATCGGATCACTGATTTCAAAATGGGAACTGTTACGCGAACGCTTTGAAATTTTTTAATTTACAAATAGACTGATTGCAACGTCATCGGATATTTAGAAAATTACATTGGTACAATTCTACCTTGGTACGAGACACTTTTGCAAATTATTATCTGCAGAAAACATTCAAGTTTAATAACGTAATAATTATTCGGTGTTAAAATAAGCAAAAGAGCTTGACGAATAGAAAAATCGGTGACCGAACGTCTCGCGGTAATCGTAGGAACCATTTTGCTCAAGAAGCGAAGGATAGAATGGAACGAGGAGTAAAAAAGCAACAGAACAACTCGACGCGCTTTGAAAAGACTAGAAGAGGTGGTCCTCGCACGGAAGCGGCGTTTGCTCGAACGAAACGCGCAGTTTCATAACCGAGTTATCGTGAAATTTTATATCCGCTCGGTCGTACACTTTCCTTAGCCATCCACTCATCCCCTTTGACCTCGTTTCCAACATGCTTGCCGTCATAATCCCCTGCCCCTTGCCATCGTCCCCGCGCCACTTCAACGACCAGGTTCGACACCGTTCACTGCCACGTCTACAACACCGACCAGAGTTCCCCGTCTTTCCTCTCCGCTCGTTAAATCTCGATTAAAAAGTCAAATTAAGAAATCGAGTTACACGCTACTCGTCAGGTGTCTCGTTAATATCGCATTGTCGCGAACGACCCGGTAAAAAAGGGGCTGACGATCCTTTTTCGCCCCTTTTCCTCGACCTTTCTATTACGTTTCTCCTCGTTTCTTTTCTGGGAAATAAAAACGGCTCGGTAGCCCGTCTGCGCTGCACTCGGGCAAACTTTTCCTCCTACAAACGAAATTCCAGTCGCGAGGTTTATTGAATCTCGCGAACGAGAGATTCTCGCAGTGGCGTAACTAGACAGGGTGCTCCTACTATCTCTCACTCTGGATCTACAGATATGGCATATGTCGATATATTGCGTGATCGAATGATTTATGTCGGAGTATGTAAAGCTACGCATGATCGAACACGTGGATATGCAGCAATCGGCGATATAACGCATGGTGATTTAACGCAAACCTCGGACAATCAATATACTATCGATATTTCTGAATTTACAAACTTCCACTTTCATGATATCTATTATGCATACTGCCGATGCAATATTGAAATATTAACGACACAAAAATATATTAATTGTCCAAAGTTCGTGTAAGACTGCCTCCCCTCGGACAAAGATCCTAGTTACGCCAATGGACCCTTCTCGTTTTTTCCCGAGAACTTGATCTTCCCGAGCTTAATTGCTACTCCCGAAGCGCTAAGATTGATCGATGCTTCCTGCTGTTTCCGAGAGTCTCGTGGGTTTGGGAATTCCAGACTCTCGCGAGTAACTCTTCTTATTTGAGATGGAAGTACGCACTCGAAACTTGTATTTGGACCGTGCATCTTACCGTAGAACTTGTAATCTGAAATTATTAAATAGGTATTAAGAGTTTACCTTGAATACTATAGGCGTATATAACCTAGCTAAACAGAACCATCGTGGTAACTCGTAATTTCATACTTACATTAGAAATTCATACTACATGCTTCGAGGAAGAAATTTATTACATATCCTGTTTTGCATTTAGAAGATTGCTTCGCATAAGTAATAAAGAGTGAACCATAGCAAGCTAACGAATAGTCCACAAAGAATTAAACAACAATTTATTGTATATTGCAGAGTACCTGAGCACGCAATCTCAGGACACGAGAGCAACGACAGGAACGAAGACCCTCGAGCAGGAGGTTTCCAGGGAGAGGCTGAACGAGCCCAGCGACGCTAACGCAACGTCACCGAATGCAACGAGCAACGGCACCATCTTCGCGACGGAACCTCCAGCAACGGCGTGGACGGAGACGACGACGGTGATCACCTGCACCACTGGCTCGTCCTCGATAATCATCCCACCTGCAACGGAGTCCAGCACCGAGAGCACGATGGTGACGTCCACGTTCGCGTCTCCCAGATCACCGTCCAGACCAGTTACGGAGCAGCAAATGAGCGTGCTTCATCATCTGCCACCCGGAGAGCCATCTCCTCCTTCGAGTACCGCTACACCGTATCACCTGGAAGAAACCACGAATCATTCGACGTCCGAGTCGAGGATAGGGTCCGATTGTAATGTAGTGGTTACCAATTACGTGTCATCGATGTTCAAGGACCGTTCTGCGGCCGAGACAGAAGCTGCCCACGATCTGTTAGAGTTGTCCAGGTCTCTGCCACCCTTACCACCGCCCAGTGTTGCCATCGGACCACAAAGCGTCGTGGAGACACCTGCGACCGATATTCAAGAGATGACGGTCTACCAACCAGACCAACCGATCTACCAAGTGAACACCATCGACCTCGCCAGCTCTACCGTGTACACCCATCATCAGCAACAGCAACCACCCACCGCGAGCATCATCTACGAGCCCAGCGCGACGATAGTTCAGCAAACGGGCAGCGTGTTCATCCCCCTGTCGCCGGTGCAGGAGATCCTGCTGACCTACAGCACACCGTCCATCCCGTGCACGCCGATCGTTGCCCAGCAACCGCCGCAACCGCCACCGCTGCAGAAACAGCCGCTTCAGCAACACCAGCCCATCGAGACTGCGCCACCCCTCACGCCCCCTACCTCCGAGTGCAGCAGCGACATCGAGAATAACAATCCCAACTCGCAGCCCAGCCAGAAGGACAAAGAAGTGCAGACAGTGATCGAGCAGACCGAAGTAAAGCCAGCTAGTTACACCTATGATACCCTGTTGGTGGCCGATGGAAGGTCGAAGAACAAGAAGAGCGCGCCCAGTCAGAAGAACCAGGAGACTGAACCGATCGAAGCACCGGAGACCTCGAAGATCGGACGATACGTCTGCTGCGAGTGCGGTATGTGTTCCGGCGTAATTGAGAGTTCCGAAGACCACTTTCTTATTTGCGCTGAAAGTTTGGAGAACCGATGTAAAAATGATAGATGAATTTAGAGAAAACTTTCAGCGTAGTATTACTTTGGTACAACTACGAAAGGAGTGAACGGCTTTGGGACTGAATTTTGCATAGTTATGAGAACACAAGCTCTGCATAATTGTAGCACTTACTTCTAGCGTTCAGAAAATTAGGGTACAGTAGACTGCTATTACATTGCCAAGAATGAAGTGAAAAGGTTTTAGAATGGCCATTATAATGCATGGCGATGAAACATCTACCGCGTGATAAAACGAGTAACAATCTAACCCATGATAATGCAACGCGTAACACGCGATGAATAAGTATTACAATGCATGGTATAAAGGTGATGTAATATAAGTCTACAATATTTAACTCTACGATAAGGTGGCAGCTATAGCCCATAAACGCCTACAATTAGTTTAACAGACTTAGCACCTATGATTTCGCAAAGTTCTAACTTGCGGTGCTTAAACCTAATCAGCGTCCCAAAGGCCATGCCCTCCATTTGTAAGCGCATGAAGCCTAACAGCCAACATATTAAGGTAATTTACATAACTAACTCTCGTTCAAATTTCTTCCTTCCAGGCAAGCAGTACGCAACATCGTCGAACTTATCGCGGCATAAGCAGACGCACCGCAGCATCGATTCGCAGTCCGCAAAAAAGTGCATCCATTGTGGCAAAGCATACGTGAGTATGCCAGCACTGGCGATGCACGTGTTGACGCACAAGCTGACGCACAGTTGCGGAGTCTGCGGTAAGATGTTCTCCAGGCCTTGGTTGCTGCAAGGTCATCTAAGAAGTCACACCGGGGAGAAGCCTTACGGATGCGCCCACTGCGGTAAGGCGTTCGCTGATCGCTCGAATCTTCGTGCCCACATGCAGACACACTCGGCGGATAAGAACTACGAATGTCACAAATGTCATAAGTCGTTCGCGCTGAAATCCTACCTGAACAAACACCTGGAATCTGCCTGCCAGAGGGAGAACGACGAGAGCAGCAACGACGTCGATGCGCCGCAGTAACCATACCCCCTTTTGGTGGATGCTTGTCGACGCTGGGCTCTTTGATCGCCATTGGGTGAGTTGAAACCTTAATGACATAATTTAGTACTACTTGTTGAATTCACTTTGAGCTATAGAAAAACTTTGTACGCTTTCTAAATAAACTTAAATATTTTTAAATAATCTGAATGGTTGAAAAATACTTTTAGATATAGGACAATTTCTTTTCACAAAATTTAATAGCATCTGAGAGTTGATTTTGTTTGACTCTCAGATTTTAACATGTTTGTATTGCGAAATATACTCACGTATCAATTGTTCTCTTTCAGCATGTACTAAAAGAATTTCAAAAACTTCTCGACGACGCAACATTGTGGTGCATCGACGCTGATGCGATAACTTGAATGGTGATTCCTTCAACTCCCTCGAAAACTTGAAAACCAACGTGAATCGAAGTTCGAAACTACACGGGAAAAGGAACACACGAAGCAAGACACAATCGAGCGTTTCTTGCCGTCGTCGTTGACGCCACAGGTGAGCCTTCGTCTTTCGAACAGATCGACATCTTCAGCGTCGTACATCCAACGTAATCTGGGTAAGCAAACGGTCCAGAAACGCGACCGATTAAATCTGCGACCAAGCTAATTAAACGAAAGAAGATGAAATACTTTAAAATCAGAGGTTGACCATGAATTAAGAAAACATGGTACGGATTTTCGTGTAACTATGAATGTTAGCAGCGAATTTTAACCCCTTGGATAACGTGGAGTTACATAACGATTAATTTGTTAGGTTTCGGAGATTTGTATGAAAGCTATTTGGCTATGAAACATATAATTTAAATTTACATTAACTGCGATTTTATTGAAATTAAAAATCACTTAATATTATTATTAGTACTACAAGATTAAACTTATAACAAAGTAGTTATTTGAAATATAAATCGCAATATAAAGTCGCCAAGGGTTAAAATTCGCAATCGGAAAGTAAAGAACATACAGGGATACAGTTTAGGGCTTAAAAGGAAACAGCGAGTTTCTTCGCATCGATCGCGCACGATGCGATTCAAACGGCATTCCTCTTGTCCCTCCGCACTCGACGGAACTCCGTTCACCGTCTGGTAATCGATATTCAAAACTCGAGGGAAACGAAACGGCACTCGTTCCGTTCCCAATGCTCGCTGCCGATTAAGGATCTGCAGGGCTTTTGGGCAAACGCGGCTACAGCCGAACCGATGCAATACTATCGAGGGACCATCAATTTGTGAGTAAAATTCATTTCGTAACGAGAACCGAGTCGAGTCAAAGAGCTTTTTCGAGGGCGGGCGTAAACAGCTCCACGTTTACAAGCTTTTATCGTTAGCGACCTGATCCTCCTCTTCGATACTGTAAACTTTTTCCAAACTTGCACACGGTACCTTTTATCCTGTCTCGTTGATTTTATGGGAGTTCTAGATCCATTTGTTTTACCTGCAACTTAGTTGTTTGTTCCAAGTTAAATGACCGATTTAAGGCGTTCAATTTTATCGAGTAGTTAATAAGTCTTTCACTTTATTCTAAGACATCTTTATAAACATTCGCTGTTTTAATTTAGTTGTGTTCTTTGAATAAGTAGTTCAAGCAGAAGATTTTTCATGCAGTTCAAGCTTTCATCCTTTATATCAAACGTTAATTCACCAGTTTATCTTTCTCGATAGTTCACTGTATTCACTGTATGTATGTCATCTCAAATGACCAAAATAAGCTTAAATAAAACACTGCGTTAACGCTACTTTTCAACGCATGCTTGTGAACTGCATAGAATATTTCTCGTCGTCGATAAAAGAGTGACACGGTTGACAAAATGGAGTCATGATTCGAAACGGTGCAGTTGCGATGACCGGTTTCGCGAAAACTTTTCGCCCGTTCCAATTTCCTCGAGACGTCTGGGATGCGTCGTTTTTCCGAAAGTTCTATCGACGCCCTCGGCGTACAATACAGGTGGAGAGGGGCAGAGGGCACACGTCGAAAGTTTTCATCAACATTTCACGTGAACTGGACCACCTGTTGAATGCAGGAATGACCATTCGGTGGCGAAAGGGTCGCTCGTTCTGCTTCCCTGAATTATAGAACGTCCTCCTGTAATTTCCTCGTTGTTAAATACGCGAGTTGGATCGCGATTTCGCGATTCTCGCGCTTTGAATCGACCAATTCGAACGTTCCTCGTTCTTCTTTTCTTCTTTCTCCAAACGATTCTAGTCGGAAGCTTTCGATCGCTGTGGCGAATCTAGTCACAAGATCAACGTGTTTATTATTTATTTATTTTATTGTTTATAGGATATCAAGCTTAAGTTTACCTAGACTAATTTATTTATTGAATAAATGCTGATTCTTCTCAGTTCTGAAGACTCCACGTATGTGATATTAATTTAGTATTTCCTCGTTGAGAGTAAGGCACAGTAGGAACAAGAGGAATGTCGGGCACTGAAATAAAAAGTAAGAAGTGAGAAAAGAATTTTCTCGTTGAATACCAAAAATGAAACTGACAAGGGGTGCGCCATTTTTGAGACATTGATCTGGTACAGATTTAACGCAACCATAACATAAACAAATTTTGCAAAATTATCCGTGCTATTAAATTTACAGTTTAGTCTAATAATAATACTAGCATTACTACTAATTAAAAATTAAAGAATGTTTACCTGTCGAAATTGAGAAATTGATTTTCACATTCTAACTCCTTAACTAAGTAAAAATTAATAAACTTCCTATACAATTGCATTATAATTTTGCAAAAACCCTTCAGCGATTTCCTACAAAGTTTGAACCAAATCAATGTATCGAACTTCCCCTGCAAGAAGAAGAAGAAGAAACTTACTCTCTAGTCAGCGAGCTACGCTTGAAATGTATCGTTTTATCTTAGGTTGCCCCGGAGCACGGGGCAGACGTATAGTCAGCAGGGTGAAATTTTGATTTCGTTCGTCCGTGTTGCTTTCACGTGAAACGCGTTTTTATATCACGTAGAGATATTTTGGTACGAGACATTTTCAGCGATTAGAGACGAATTAGGGTTGACGAATAAATTGCGTGTAATCGGTTAGTTCGCGTAGTGTAATTTAAAAGGGAAGCAAAGAGCTTTAGCGATGTTTAAGTTGTAAGAAGACGTTCAATTCGTTCGCAGAAGGTGATCGTGGATCGAACGTTGACTCGTTCGGGCAACTTGCGAGTGATTCGGTGGAGGAAAACGAAATAACGTAAATGTTAAATATTGAAGAGACTTAGTTCCGTGCAATTTTGAATCACTTGCACGTTGCGTATAAATATGTTTTAAGTCAGAAATAGACTTGCCTAACGCTTCTATAAGACTAGATTAAACCTCGTGGCTGTTGACTTGTACATAAATCCCATTATTTTTTCACGTTCTTATTAAATGATTTACTATCGATAAGCGTAAGGTTTCTAGTCGTAGCGGTCGTTCGATTTTCTCCTTTCGTCATTTTTATTCGAGTTAAGCGAGTCTGGTTCTGACTGAGCTCCGGATGAAAGAGGAACGGCGTTATCCTGAAATCGTTCTGTGCGTTCGTTTCTACGGGACACTCATAAATTTCTTGTCCTGACTCGATAGTAAGATACGGAGAGAAAAGGGAAGCATACGCAAAGTCTACCTCTGACTGTTGTCAGAACAGAATCGACCTGGTAAAGTAGGTCGTACGCAATTTCGTCACACCCTTAATAATTCACAGTTAAACAGTCTCGTCTTCACGCTGTATTACAATACTCGACAGTCAATCGAATCTCTAATTAATTAGAGTTAACCTCGTAACGATAGTCAATAATAAAACAAAGGATTATGAACTAGAACGTTATCGAGGTGAATTGTTTCACGTTACAGCAACGAACCGCGGCGACATGTTTTTAACTGTATCAAATATTCTGGTCTGTTTAAAGTTTTTAGATTGAACTTTAAAGCGATACGTACACGAAGCAAGCAATAGTCGTCGACGTCAATTTTAGTTTCAAGCTTTAAGCACACTTTCAAATATTACAGAGTTCGATATCGGTTATTTAGAGTGCGTTAAATAAATAATCAGAGGAAGGAAGTACTACCGAATTCTCAATTGTACTTATAAGGTGTGACAAAATAAAATGTCGACGACAGTTGGTTGCTTCGTTCCGAAGCTTTCGGTTCGTTGCCGTGTCGACGAACGTTTCGCCGTTTCAAAGATGTTCTCGAAATGAATAGCGCAGCTTCGGGGCTTGCCGACGCGATTTCCTCGATGCTTTTCTCGGCTCGCGGGAGAAAAGCATGATAACGCGTGGATTCATTGAACGAGCAGGGAGAAACGATATCGCAAGCCGCAGAACTGAACTCGCGAATACAAATTAACGTTAGATCGTCGCCGTAGTGTACTTGAACGCAAACAGAAAAAAGATTTAAAAGCAAAAAAAAAGAGGTGGTAATTATTAATGATATTAACGATAAACGGACAGTCGACACTATTTTTTAGATATTGAAATACGATTTAAGCCAGGACCCAGGACGATCATGCCTCGTACGTTTCTCGGTCCAGGAAGAGCTTTTTGTGCTTTTGTCCGGGATTTGAAACAAGCTTCTTTCTATCGGCTGTGCGCTTCGATTTCGAGTAGAACGCGGGAAATCGTGCACGTGTACGACGATGATCCAAGCAAAACTTGTTTTAATGTCCCTCGACGCAGCGTTGATTGTCTTTAAGGAATCGTGATGGATTCTTCGAACGCTAGTTAATGGTACTGACCTAGAACAGGGTATTTTAGAAAAGTTAGCGAGCTAAGTATTTCTTTTGTAAAGGCAGAATGTTCACAAATTCTTTTCTTCTTTTGATAGAGATTTTAAGGATGATAGCAATATGAACAAAAAACTGACGTTTTTTAGTTCATAAATGAACAAGGAACACTCTATACAACTTCCTATTTCCGTCGACTTAATTAATTTATGTAATCCAAAGGAAATCTTTGTAAGTTGAGACATGCTTTAACCGCTTGTTAAACTTATCAGGAGTAACTGATCTGTATTCGTGACAATTTTTTAACGCCAGACACCGTATCGCTTCGTTTTCATTTATTTTCTTCTTTTCTTTACAACAAAGCTAATTGCCCGGAGTTGCGTCGTACTCGTTACCGTCACGAAGCATCGCTTAACAGAATTTTCTAGCATAGGGATTTCTAAACTTTTCCGAGACCCATTCTTATAAACAGCAAATGTTCGCGACCATCCGCTAATAATGTTCAAATGTTTCAAAAGAGTGGGTCGGAATTATAGTTTGGTGATCCTTATTCTAGCAAGTAGAAAACAACCAACTCTTTCCAGTGGCTGAGCACGATTTAACAAATTAGAAGAGTAATAAAGAAGAAACTTATCGCCCCATAGCTGTAAAGTTTGCTCGATGGTTAAGTATGGTGATAAGCCGCGAGACGCGAAGAGAAAATTAATGAAAACGAGAGAAGATTCTTTTCCTAGTTCTATCGTAAGATCGATTATCATTTCGACACGTCGCTTAATTAAGTATAAAAAAGACTCTACAGAGGACCAAAGTACTTAAATGTAACTGTACGCCGAAACCGTGGCGCTCAAAACAGCGATAAATGTAATTGATATCGCTTTCGTGATGATACGCGTTGTCAATATAAGCGGGAATCAATGAAAGAATGATAAAAGGAATGATTTAAAGAGGAACAGAGCTGGCTGTTAATATATACATTTGAGGACACGGTAAAAAAAACAACGAAAACCACGTGACACAAATTGTCATGTAATTTAATTAATTAATTAATTTACTAGGGGACAGACGCACGATATGCTATGTGTATATGTGTATTGTACATGTATGTTAGTCCGAACGTTCTACACCGAGACTTTTCGCGACAACGATTGCCTCTGATTAATTTCAAAACGTCGCTGCATGCTTTCCTGAAAAAGAAAAAGATTATTTCATCCGTGTAGCTTGTTTTCCTTTTTAAAATTGCATTTAATAGTTATAAGGGAAGTGACTTGAAGAACACTGAGTTCAAAGTTTAAACAATTATAGGCAGTATTAAAAGTGATATTTCTACACAAATAAAATCTTTGCAAAAATAAGAGTTTGATTATTAGACTACAGAATTTAAAAAATGAAGAATTATTACTTTTGAGACCTTTTACAATTGAAACAAATCAGTGTTTGGAATATTGTACGCTCTCTTCGTATAACTAATCTTCTTTTCACGCATACGTCTCGAGTCTTCATAGATTGATACCGTCTCACGGATCCGGTGATTATCATCGATCGAACTTCCGCTTCGTTTTCAAGGTTTTCTAAATCTGTAAGTTAAAACGACGTTACTAGCTACAAAGGAAACGCGAAAAATAAATTATCCATTGCTTGATGAACGGGTAATTTGCGAGCCACGGATAAGAAATAGGTTAGACTTTAATAAATGCAATTATGAAATTAATTAGAGCGCGATCCGTGCTTACCTCCGTACACGATAATTTACATTTCGCTCGAGTTTCATGCAGAGTCGATAAGTACGAAAACTGCACGTAACTACGCCGTCAGATAGTTTCATGTTTACACATACGCGCGCCAGTGAGATGAAGTAAAATATAAATGAAAAATGTAAAAAAAGACAACAGAAGAGAAGCAGGCATGATCATCAGCAAACCTGGCTTTTTGTGAAAAGGCAAAAAAAAAGAAAAAAAAAGGAAACGACGAAAAAAAGGGAAAAACATAGAGTTTAGATTAGTGTGATACAAGGTACGACAAAGCAATAATTTAGTGATTGTATGATATATTTGATTAGTGAATTAGCGAGCTAAGTTTAATGGTAAACTTTCGGAACTTAAATACCTACTTGATAAATCGTATAGTTTTGTAGAAACACTGAGAATATTTGCCACTTGAGGTATGAAAACAAAAAACGCTGTCTTGGGATCAAAGATATAACGACAAACGTCGAAGAATTAGTGAAATGTGCAATTTATGGTCGCTGATAACCATAAAATTTTTTAACGATTTTCTTGTTCTCACATCACGAAACCTCGTTCCGTTCCTTCGAATATTGCGCATCGACAAAGACCCTAAAACAAATCAAATTGGTTTTAATATAACGACGATTAAACTTGTTTCTATAAAATAAATTGAAACTTCCATAAAGGTGCAATTGAAACAGTATTTTTACCGATGCGCGAATCATGTTGGTGCCAAAATGTCATATGATTCAATGATTTATTGCTTCGACGAATCACAGGAACTCAATAAATAAAACAATTAAGGTGCTAATCTGCAATACAAAGCGGAATAAGAATTTTAAGGATTCGTAATTCTGCATTCTGTAAAGTAGTTACTACTTACGCTGTGTATTTGAGTATCACGTGATTTCCGTTTGACATTGCATCGAAATACGTAACATTTCACTCGTTCCAATTGTACGCTTTTCTTTCCATTAAACGATTGCAAAGAATCCTTTGATACTCAAAGAGAGCATTTTTTATAAAATCTTACACGTATGTAAGTATTGCACGTCAAACAGAGGTGTGAACACCTTTGTTAACCTTTTTCGTAACACGATTGTGCACGAGAAACAAAAATTAATCGATTATCGATCGGATTGAGAAATACTGTTTGGAAACTATTTTCTTGCGCGCCTTTTTGAAATGTCATGTTTATTTGTTGAATTTCAAAAAATTGATTAATTGAAATGTATTATTTAGGTTGATAAAGTAAAAGCAAATTTTGTACGAATTATACGATTGACTTACACTCAAAGGAATTTAAAGTTTGTTTTGTTTAATGTCAAACATGTAAATACATAACCTTTCCATTCCTTAATAAATGTCGCAAAACATGCGTAGAAATAGAGATCAGCAAATTTCTCGACCCGACACTTTTCTTTGAATGTTCAAACAATATTCCCAAGAGCGTCTCGGCTCACAAAATAAATTTTTAAAAAATCCCAAGACTGATAATGAATATATCGTGATGCATGCACATCCGATTTATTTAAGTCTACGTCTAAACGAGCTCAAAGCTTACCTTATGAAAATCGTTTTTAAATGTTCCAACTTCCTGAATAAGGTGTATGTGTGTATGTTTGTATGAGAGAGATAAAGAGAGAAATAGAAAGAGAAAAAAATGAACGAAGGTCTACATTTTTTATATTCTTGATCGTCGGAAGTTGTTAATCCGCAATTTAGTGATCATCTTTAATGGCTATTTCATTATTAAATGATTGTAGTTATTATTTGAAATAATAATCTAGTTTTGAACAACACAAAACACACATATGTACAAACTAACAAATTTATTCTAAGTACTAGAAGTTTTACCGATGGAAAATGACCTTCGTCGTTTTTTCGAAATTTCCAAACTCATTATAAATATATATGAACCTTTAGTATACAGAAAAGAAAACGAAGTAGAACCGTTTTTGTTTGATTTTCGTTACACAGTGTAATTAATACTCGAGGGAATCTAATTTATGCACAAGCGTATACGCATTATTTTTAATTGGACCGCACCAGAAATTTCGCCAACATAAAACTCAACAATTAGCGATAAAACGAAACAGTAACATAACAAATTATTAATGTACTTACAATATTTAAGGATAAAAACAGTTTAATTGCACTACATTTGTAAACTTTATTAATTATACGTTGCAAAAAAATTGATGCGAGTTGTTGTTATTTTTACCTGGTTCCCCACTTCATTTAGTCTTCAAATAAAAAAACGAAACAAAGTTACGATTGTAATAAAATAATTACTCTTTATACAATTATCTAAACAAAAGTTACATCTCCCTTGTTGTATCCTCATCTTACACTCTGCAATCATCATACAAGATTTATAAATACAATAATGCAAAAATTTCGATAGTTTATATTCACATAACGTGCTTTTATACAACTTAGTTTTTCTTATAAAAAACTCGGTTGATTATTTACCTAATAATTAAGTTGATTACAGGCAATACTATGCGTTGGATTTGGAGATAAACGTATTTTGTAAAATAGTTTTTAATTCTCAATAGCAGTCGCTTCCTCGTGTTGCAAATATGATCCACACAATCGATGCAATCGAATGCACTCATATATTACTACTTATTACAATTATATATTTCAAACTATAATACAAAATACTTAACAAGCTATAATCCATGAAAGTATAATTATAATCGCTGCGACGGTTGATTTTGAGAACTGCTATCTGAAACTGCTTGCGTCGTTGCAGGTACTTCTTTTTCACTCTTTTCCGCATCCCTCGATCTATTCCATTCTTGTAAACCTTTTGGTAAAGTGGTATCTTCCTCGAATGAACCTGTTCCTTCGACAAATTGTTCATACGTTGATTTTTCAGGGAACGGCCTAGGTCCAAGCAATTCTATCATGTCCTCTCTACTTAAAATTTCTTGTTTTAATAATCGTTCAGCAACCTAAAATGATTATAAAATACTTCAATTATTCGTGTCCCTGTTTTTTAAATAAAATAAGAACACAGAAATCTAGGTATATAGCAATCTAGGATTTGAGAAGTATGTCTCGATGTAACATACACATGTTTTATATTTACAGTACTCGTTAATATCCCATACCTTAGTTACATTTTCCTTCTGTTCCGTGAGTAGCTCACGTGTTCGAGTATGTGCTCTTTCAATTAACGCACGAACTTCGGTATCGATGAGTTGTGCAGTATGTTCAGAATATGGCTTATCGAATGTCATATCACCTTGTTGTGGCATTTGAAAACTAACATTACCAACTTTTTCATTCATACCATACTGAATAACCTGAGCATATGCACTTGATGTTACCTGACAATAAAAGAGGTTTTTATATTAGTACAAATAAATTTTTTACAAATATAATAACTATGTAAAATGAGGTCTATATAATAAAACAGTACTTTCTGTAAATCATCTTGTGCTCCTGTCGTTATGCGACCGAAAAAGATTTCTTCGGATACCCGTCCTCCGAGTGCCATACACATTCTATCAAACAACTGCTCTTTTGTATATAAATATTGTTCATGTGGTAAATACTGAGCGTAGCCTAAACCTTTACCGCGTGGAATTATGGAAACCTGCCAAAAAAAATACGGATAAATTGGATTAAATAAAAATTGTTAGTGATGAATGAAAAATACCTTTAAAAGTGGATCTGCATATTCTAAAAACCAGCCTGCTACCGCATGACCGGCCTCATGATATGCAACTGTTTTTTTCTCTTCAGGCTGTAGGACATTTGTCTTTTTTTCCATACCAGCAATAACTCTTTCAATGGCTTGTTCGAAATGTTTTAATTGTATGTTATCGTTCAAGTCTCTTGCCGCTATTAAAGCCGCTTCATTACATACATTGGCGATATCGGCTCCTAAAACATTCTATGTGTGATCAACGCTTTTTTTTAAAAAACTTCATTAACTGAAATTTATTTTCATACCGGTAAAACCAGGTGTTAAGGAAGCCATTTTTCTAGCTAACTGATCTTTATCTATCGTTGCCTTTAAAGGTGCTAAGTGAACTTTAAAAATAGAAGCTCTTCCCTTAATGTCTGGCGCAGATACGTAAATTTGTCTGTCAAATCTTCCAGGACGTAATAATGCTTTGTCTAAAATGTCTATCCTATTAGTTGCCGCTAACACAACTACGTTAGTAGTTGTATTAAATCCTGAAAAAAAATTGAAATGAAAAAATGTGGAATTTAAATATGATATCACGTATTAACTACTATTACATACCATCCATTTCCACTAAAAGTTGATTAAGTGTATTTTCTTGTTCCGAGTGACCACCGAAATTTCGACCACCTCTTTTCCTTCCAACGGCATCGATTTCATCAATAAATAATATGCATGGAGCATGCTTTCGTGCCATTGCAAACATGTCACGAACTCTCGAAGGACCAACACCGACAAACATTTCCAGAAATTCAGAACCTGACACACTAATGAAAGGAACATTTGCTTCACCAGCTGTAGCCTTAGCTAACAACGTTTTGCCTGTACCAGGTGGTCCTATAAAATTTAATATTAAATAAAACATCATGTATATAGTTACACAATATTAAAAGAAGAAAAATTATTTATTATTGTAAGTTTACCCGTCAACATGGCGCCTTTGGGAATTTTAGCACCAAGTTCTATATATTGTTGTGGATTTTTTAAAAAATTCACAAACTCCATAATTTCAAGTTTTGCTTCTTCACAACCAGCAACATCCCTAAATTTTATATTGAAACATTACTTTAGTACTTCAAAAAATTCTATCTAAATAGACTACATAAACTACTTAAAATGCTATATTAATATAGCATTGATTAAGATCATTTTATTATCTTACTTAAATCGAACACCAATGTCTTTAGAGTTAATTAATTTTGCAGTTGATTCCATCACTGAACCAAATAGTCCTTTTCTTCCTTTGCCAAATGATGCCACTGATTTTCGGAATAATACGAACAACAATCCTACAAACAAGATGTTTTGCAATTAATGAGCAAATACATATAAATTATAATATATATCATAAAACATTCATACAGAAATGAAAATGATATCTAGAACATAATTTACCCCATACTATTAATTGTGGAAGCATTCTTACAACATGCTGCAGCTCCAATTCATCTTTATAATGAACTGGTAAATAATTTTGTACATCTACATTTAGCTCAAGTTGTGCATTCTCCAAATTCCTTTCAAATGTCTCCACACTTCCAATATTAAACCACAAAACGTCCTATAAAGTGTATCAAATACATTGTACAATTAACAAGTTAATTAGTTTTATTTATCAAATTTTTACTGAAAATAAATTTTTTAATAATAAACTCACTTTTCCTTCCTCTGCATGCCCAGGTATTAACTTTACACGAACCCACTGTTTATTAATAACTTCTACCTTATTCACAATTCCTTTGTTTAAATAACTGCATAAAATCAACATAAATTATTCTTAGGAATAAATATAATATGTATCATAATAATCAACAATATTATAATTCAATTACTTGGTTATGAATTCTCTCCATGTGATTTCTGTTGTAGCATTTGTTCTATAATTCATGTATAAATAAGCAGTAACTGAGAATATAAAACCCATAATAAGCATCTTTTCATTATTATTGCTCGGAAATGGACTATTGCCTCCAGCCCATTTAAAGTCCCATTGAAAGTCTCGTTTAAAATCCTGTTTTTCAGAGCCTAAAGAACCAAGAGATGGTTTCTGAGCTGGAGGTACAGATGATTTTGAACCAGCTGCTTCTTTAGATGATCCATTTTTAACTTTCTGTGCAACTTTTTCAGTTGTTTTAGTGGTATTACTTCCAGCTGTATAAAATATATAAATTTTATTATAATGTATTTGTGCCATACAAAATGAATTAATAAGTATAACTGACGTGATTTATAGAATTCTTCAAATCCTTTTGGAAGTTTACTCCACAATTTCCACTGTTTTTGTAACCGTTCAATGGTAGTTGTTTCATTGCCATTTCTAATCAATGATAAGTATCTCCTTAACTGAAAAAGTTTTATAGTATGCAACACATGGAAATCATATAAAATAACAGTTCAATAGCACATAGGTACTTCAATATTATGGACATAATATACAAGTTGTATGTAGTGTTTAATTGTTGCATACATAGTATATATATTTGGCTATAATAATGTAATATCAAACATAAAATAAGTAAGAGTAAGTAGACAGCAGTTCTGTAAGACATATTAATAAAAAAACATAATTACATCAAATTTTAAATCACTGCCGTTACTGGAAGAATGTATTGTATGAAGAATATAGGTTACGTTAGGTTATATTTGTACCTGAAATATATTGGCATTTTTGTAAATGGAATTTAAAACAAATCTTTCTAATTTACGTGTTGAAGATAACAGCTGGTGTGCCATATTTTTTTATATTTTTTCAATTATCACGTAATATGATGAAATTTTGTACTTCCACTTCTTTCCTACAACAGATTACCGGTCATAAAACACTGTTCCAACAAATATCCCCAACCTTACTCTTTACTGTTCATCACAGCGCGCAATACATACTAGTGGACGTTTGTACAACTATTTTAGCGAGTTACTTTGGCTAGTAACCCTTCCTCATATGGAAACTAATCTATATATTTTGACATGCTATATCACATTAATTTCATATGGTGCAATTAAATTTACTAGCAAACACATGATCCTGAATACAGAAGCGTATTTTTAGCTTTCTAAGAAGAATTATTTTTGCTTTAATGCACACTCATTGTTGCATCATTTTGAATGAATTTAAACAATTATCACTATCTATTTTATTACAATTACAAGTATATAAATATAACACAAAATTGTATAAATCAATATGTCTTATCATAAATTGTTAATAAAAAAATAATTATAATAAATACATGAATAAAATATACAAGTTGAAGAATGATAGATGAACACAAAATTAAACCATGATTATTAATAATTTCATTATAATTATTTAAAATTAATATTTACGTCTAATCATATATATGTATATATATGAAAATTCTAAATTAGCATACACTTTACTATACAAAAGGGAATATTATGTTGTGTGTAAATGATTGGAAGTGATATGCTAACTTTCCGTCTGCGAATAATTTGAATTCTCTTCAATGCTTATAGCACAGGGAACATACTCTTGCACCGATTCCTAAAGACAAAATAAATACAAAATTTATAATTATATTTGGAGTATAGTTCCGAATATGTTCATTTCAAAAAGAAATAAAGAAAGTAACGTACAGAATTAACAATAATTTGTCGGCCCTCTTCTAAATTCAGTCCATCCATATCTTCTGCTGTTAATATTATCACAGAATCCTCAGGTATACTATTTTCATCGATATAAGTTATAGGAATCTCTGATGAAACCTGCAAGTCGAATTTATTGATAATAACAATGTTTTAGCATATAATGTATAGTAATTGGTAAAAAGGTTTAAACGATCTTGGTACCTCACAATATGTAAAATCAGAACCTTCCTGTACCTTGGTTTCTGAATTATGTTTAGGGTCTGTTATTCTTTGTTTCCTTGAATTTAGTAGTCGCTCCGATTTTTTACCATCTTGTTGAAGACGCCTCCATATCGTTGTCTTAGGAATATGATAAGTCATTGATGCTGCGGCTTGTGACATTTTTCCTCCTTTACAGGCAGCGACAGCTTCTTCCAAACGAGATTTTTTTAACTCCTCATTTTCTGTTTTACGTTTTTTCCAAAAGGATAGCGGCAATTTCCCTTCGTCCACCAAACGAGCTTTGTCTCTAAATAAGGTGGTCTTTGGAATCTGAAACCACAATTTCTAATATTACTTCTGAGTCATTTAATTAATGGTAGAGTTGCTTATCATTTAGAATATCAGTTAAGAATTTTATTAAACAATATTACTTTGAATTCAAGTGCGACTTTTGTTAGGTTTTCTCCCCTTTCTAAAGCTTTAACTGCTGCTTCCCGTTTGTCAGAACCATAAGATCTTTTCATTTCAGATCGTAATATTTGATAGCCTTCTTTCTGAATTCTCCTCCATAACACAGTTTTTGGTATACTAAACATTTCTGATGCATGCTGCAAACTTGAGCCACCTGAAATGATAATAAAATAAGTGAAACATGTAGTCTGAATTACTCCTTGAATTACCCACTGAGGTGTATACACAAAATAGATGCTAACCAATTACTGCATTTATAGCAGCTTTCATACATTCTGCTGGATATTCATTTCTTGATGCATTTAAATGTATACCTAATGCTTTAGCACGCATGTATAATGTTGAACGTGGTATATTATGCTTAGTAGAAGCTTCTATTAAAGTTTGACCTGACTTTAAATCATTGATTGCAGATGCTAACATATCATCACTATAATCTCTCTTTGTTGCATCGCGTCTACGTTTTTTCCTTTTATTTAAAGTAGAATTTTCAGTAATTTGTTCCTTTTGTTGATCTTCCAAATCTTCATAACTATGTTGTAATGCACTAATAACATTTTCTTCTGTCTCTTCGCTAATTATGGTTGTTGGTTCTTCATTATTATCATTGAAATCTTTTGAGCTTATAACTGAATCACTTTCATCAAGTCCATCGATCTATAAAAATACATAATAAATGAGAAAAAGCATAACATTTTTATCTAATCTTTTTGTAATCAGTGACATCAACCTCGATAAGACCACATATTTTTAAAGAACGTGCAGCATCCAACAGACTGCTGATATTATCAACTGGAACCCTTACTTCTCCATGATAAGTAAATTCTACAATAGATTTTATATCTTGAGCAGATATATCGCTCAATATTATTGTTGGGTGATCTTCATTTACTTGACTTAATATATCCTACAAATAATGGATTAAACATTAGATAAATTATTCATGTTATCATATATACATGTTTAACCTATCTATAAACTATGATAAAATTTATTATAGAGATAATATGATCAAGCAACAAACATTAAATTTGTATGTACAACACAATTACAACTTTTGTAAAGTATAAATAAATGAATAAAAATAATAAATAATATATTATTAAATTATTCATGGACACTTAAAATTATGGATACAAATTTGTAATTATTTAATTGTTTACTCGAAATAACGTGCTACAAGCACAGAGGACTATTCGATGAGCATGAATTCGTTCTCCCGCAGCTGCTAGGGTAACATCCACCATGCAATCTTCATCCAAAAGTTGTCTAACTACATCGGATAAATGATTTTGATAATCATTCCATTTAAACCAGTAGCTCTGATTAATCTCATGTTGGTTAATAACCTCAGACATGCCGTTTCAATTTCGTTTCTCTTTTCAGTTTTCAATAACGCGTATACAACAGGAATTTGGAATAGGACTGAATTCTTCACAACCAAGATGCAGCACTTTGCTTTCTCGTCGGTTACTATACGATGATCTGTCATAAACTGCACCGATATTTTTTTATTCAAATTTAACTTCTTTTTGTATACGAATTTTACTTATGACGTAATTTATTTAAAAATTTGGTATAATAATTATTACAAAAGTAATTTGGCTTTATTTTAACTTTTCTTTTGGTCTCTTCGGTCTTTCTCAGAACTAGAATTTCAAGTTGGCTACTCCGATCCAGCTAATTTAGAGTTTGGTAGAGATGGTAGAACCTAGTAAATCCTTTTTATACTAGGTTTCTGTTGTAGATTGGAGGGTTCTATAATTTTATGGAGTGTTCGTTTGCTGATTTTGTGACAATTACACGGAATAATATATTTTAAAATAAAATGGTTAGTTATATTATACATACTACTTTACATGCTACTCTTAAATGATATTCAGAGTTACATATTTAAGCGATATATTGCAACATGTGACAGCATAACCTCGTTGACGTTATCTCCTTAAAAATGTCATTCCTTATTAAATATACACAAATATGTTATTTTAATATACTGTAAGTAATAATAAATTCATTACTTTTTTGTAGAAACCTTTGATGTTACACGGGCACGAACGTGCTATAACAAAGATCAAATACAACAGGGAGGGAGATTTGTTATTTTCCTCCAGTAAAGATAAAAAGCCAAATGTTTGGTATTCTTTAAATGGAGAACGTCTTGGATCTTTCAATGGACACAATGGTTCTGTATGGTGTATAGATGTCAACTGGGATACAACAAGATTTTTATCTGGAAGTGGTGACAATTCATTGAGAGTTTGGGATTGCGAAACTGGTTTGTGTTTTATTGTTAATCTTTAAACAGAGTATAAATATGTTGATCCAGTATACAATTCTTGTTATATATTTTCTTGATTCCAGGAAAGGAAATAGGTTTACTTCACACAAACAGTTCAGTAAGAACGTGTAGTTTCAGTTACTCTGCAAACCTTGCTGTTTATTCTACTGATAAAGCTTTAGGACACCAATGTGAAATGTTCATCATTGATATAAAAAATGTTGATGCAGAATTATCACAAGAAGATGCAATTTCTAGAATTGCTGTTAGTGGTCCCAGAATCTCAGCTATTTTATGGGGTGCATTAGATGAAACAATTATTACTGGTCATGAAGATGGTGAAATTACTCTTTGGGACGTAAGAGTAAGTAATATATTATTTTAAATATTAAATATTTAAAAGACCAAAGGTATCTTTTAATTAAAATTTTCCGTTTGTTTATAGACAAGAAAAAAACTATCAAGTGTTAAAGGACATAAGTCACAAATAAATGATATGCAATTCAATAAAGATGGTACAATGTTTGTAACTGCATCTAAAGATAACACTGCCAAATTATTTGACAGTGATTCATTGATGTTACTAAAAACATATAAAACTGAAAGACCTGTAAACTCAGCCACAATTTCTCCTATCTTTGACCATGTATGTTTTCTGTGCATATAAATATTTATTCAACATAAGTTAAAAGAACTTATAACTGTACTTTTTTAGGTGGTTCTTGGAGGAGGTCAAGATGCTATGGATGTCACAACAACATCTACCCGTCAGGGAAAATTTGATTCTCGATTTTTCCATTTAGTATTTGAAGAAGAATTTGCGCGATTAAAGGGACATTTCGGTCCAATTAATTCTCTCGCGTTTCATCCGAATGGTCGTAGCTTTTCAACGGGTGGAGAAGATGGTTATGTTCGTATTAATACGTTCGATCAGTCATATTTCGACTTCCATTTTGAATACTAATTTTGTGAGGTAAAAGAAATAAACATGTATAAATCAAAACCAATGTTATAAATTTATTTTTTATTCGTATAAAAAAAAGAACTGCATGTATAATATTTATGAAAAACAACTCTATCACTAATGGTACATAGAACGTATAATAAGAGGTAGAATCACCAATTTGAAGTTATAATATCACATAATGATAAGTTATATTGAGTATGATATATAAACTTGTAATATCGTAACTTTTAGCAAGTATCATAATATTACATTTTATACTTAAAATGCATTTTCACCAAGTACCGTGCTTTCACCTGAGCAACATCATATACAATGTATTCATTGTACAACAAACTTGATTTTTTAGGAAGTTTAGCAGGTACAGGTGGACCATATGGAACTTCAACACCGTCTTTCATTTTATGAACGCATTGGGGATCGGGTTGTGTCTGGCCATGACCCATCGTTGAATGTTTTCCTTGCGGCAATTTTGTAATAAAATCTGCTTGATATCTGTCATATATATTACCCAATGCCACTTCGCAAAGTAACAATAATCCCGTAGGATTTTCACTGTTTGTACAACAATAATTCGCGGACTTGGAAACCATATCTGCGAAGTATATACCTTTACCGAACATGTATCCGGTAACAGGAGCTTCTGGTGGAGCTATTCTTAATCCCTGAGAAAGAATACCGGCAAAATTAGTTGTTCTAGAACCGTGCCATAGCAATTTTTTGTTACTTAATTTTCTGAATGGCTTATATCTACTATCTTCTCCTTGTCTTTTAACAACATATACGTCTTCGATTACAAGTTCGTATTGTGTATGAGTTTGGGCATGAGTATTCTTAACATATTGCTGAATAACTTTGTACTCTTCGCTTTCTTTGTCTAATACTTTAATGTCTGTATTTAATTGTTCGTAATGAGCATCGAGTGGATTCTTTGTATCATCCGTTTTGGTATGCAAGAGAGAATAGGCGATTTCCATTTCGAGCAATGCATCTAACATCTCACACTTCGTATGAATTTCTTCAGACGAGTCTAAAACTTTAGGTCCTGATACACCAAAATTATGAGGTATTAAATTATAAAATCTATTCGATGCATCAACTAGTTTAACGGTCTCCACATTTTTATTCTTTAATAGTTCCTGAAGATCTGTTAGTATCGAATATGCTTTTTGAATTTGTTTTTTGGATAATTTTCCCAACGGCATTTTATCCATGTCAATTTCAAACTCGGCCATTACTTTCCTCATATTTGCTTCATCGAAAATTAATTTTATTAAATCTTGGACTGGTTTTTCTAAGTCGCTCTTAATATTAGAATCTAGTAGTTGCGTTGTGACATCCTCTCCATGATCGACATCAACAGGATACATTTTATGAGGCACTTTGACAAAATGTTCTCTTTGGCTCCAGACATTTCCAGTTCTTTCTTCGTATAAACTTTCAAACTGCTCTATACATTCTTCCAATGATAAGTTCTCTAATTTGGTTCCACCAATAGTTGTTCCTATCCGACCCCAATTTCTGAATAACCAGTATTTATTCTGTTTATCGTGTTTCAAAATCTGTAGCTTATAATAGCTGTTCCTTTTTGTTTGTATGTCTGTATGTACTAATGTAATAGTAAACTTCTCTTTACCCCTTTTGTACACGTGTGCACAGTCTTGTAAACCACTGTCTGGATCCACTGTCCCACCCTCTTTTAATTGCAACTTTACTTTACCAGACCCTGATTTTTCAAATACACTTTTACCTTTGCTCTTTGAAGCAGAAGACTTTTCTGCTACAACGTTAATCCTCTCGGATAAGTCACCGCCCCAACTTGAAATAGTCTTCTTTTTAATAAGTACAATAGCAGGTTTTGTGTAATCTTTGGCTTCGTCGATAAAATCTTCAGTAATAACTTGAATATTTAGATTTTTGGCTTCTTCCATTCTCTTGTTCATTTTTTCTATTTCATTTTGATTGGATATAACAGCAGCTACGTGTTCGCTAAGTTTTGTAGTTACATCTCCTCCTAAAAGCAGAATACTTTTCTTCAAACTGTCTTTATCTCTTTCTGTTTTTCCTATGATGACAAATTGCATATGTTTTAATGGTTTCGGTTTCGCCTCAATTTTAGGTCCAGAATCAACCTTGTCTTCTTCTTTTATGGAAGACGATGTTGACGGTGCGATTATCTTTATGAGCCGTTTTCTAACTTTACATTTTAAGTCTTTGCTGTTAAAATATTTAAATGACGATTAGTTTTCTCCTACATGACTGTATTAAATACTTAGTAACGTCTTACATGATTATATTAAAAATAATGATCAAATAAGACACTTACAGATTCGGGTACGTAATCTTCATATTTGACGAAATAACAAATTTTTTCCGTTTAGGATCTAGCGTTACGTTTTCGCATTTAGTCCATTCCGTTAAATCTCCGGTACATTTATATCCAAATCCGGAAGAATATGCAAATTGTCCACTACATTTTGAACATGGCTTTAAAGCACCAAAATAAATTGCATCCGCCAAACGATCTATTATCTATAAATAAATTTTCAAACTATTAAAAACGTTATTTGTTTAAGACAATAAATATTGTTAATAGTGGTACATACAGCTGATACACCTTCTGGAATTTGTTGTTCATTTTCTTCAAGCATGGTAATAAGATCAGCTTTTCTTATAGGAGTTAAGAGATCTTTGATTTTAAATAGCTCATCATTCTGTTTCTTCATTTCTTCCGCTTCTTCTGGATCTTCTTCTTCTTTTTTAACTTTTTTGATTGGTGGAGCATCACCTGCATTAATTTTTGGCAAAGCAGCTTCAACTTTTTTTTTATCATCTTTGGACAGATCTTTTATGCCAGGTAATATAATGCCATTTTCAAAGAACTCTAAACTCTCCCTTACTTTTGCAAAGCATTCAAGGTGGTACCATCTATCAATGCCACCATACCTTCTGCCCTGTTCACTTTCAAAATCTTTTTTTGATACTCTTATCTCTCCTTGTACTATCCTTTCTTCGCATGCTTTACAAGTTGATTTATTAGATTTTGCATACTGAACAAGAAAATCCTTTAGTGGACCTAAATTTTTTGCAGCAGCAGAACCACGTTTTTTACCTTTTCCACTTACAGGTAATGGAATGGTACTTGCTTCTTCTAAAAGTAAAACTTTATGTAGATTATTTCAACATATAATATTAAATAGTATTTATGAAATTATAATCAACGAACCAATTTTCTTTTCAATTATCTTCTGATCTTCCCATCGAATATTATCAAAATTAGCAAAATCTGCAGTATCTTTGGGCCTTTGTTTCAAGAAGAAACAATCTGGATGATACCATTTTGGTATTAGCCCGTCATGAACAGGACTCTTAATTCATCGAAAAAACAAAATATTATTAATTTAAACCATAAATGCATGGTATTGTCGTTTTGTAGTATATGTTTATATTTTTCATGTAGCACATGCAATTTGGAAATTTGGCAATGTTGCAATTTGAAAATATAGGAATATGAAAAATCGGTAATTAGAGTATTTAGAAATTTGGAGTCAATACGTACTGTCAATACTCAAATATTATAAAAACGCAAAATGAGTTCCTTCAATTATTTTTTTTTTTTTTCAATTATTTTTTTGCAAATTTGTGCATTCTAAACACAATACACTTAATATATTTAATGTACTATATATATACTACTAATATATTCAATATACACATTTAATATATTTGATTAGTTTTTGGAACAATCATGAATTTATTTTCAATAAAATGTTATACAATCATGATAAATTGTATTATTATTACATATGCATCGAGTAATTTCTAAAACCAAATATGTTACATTGCATGTTACCGTATTACGTTTCTCATTCTGAATGCATTATAAATTGCATTACGTAAGTTTGCATATTAACCAAAAAATGAATGCAAATTGAAAAATCTATAGTCAATAACGGCAATGACATGAAAGATATAGCATAAAAGAAATATGCGTATTCAATGATATGTACCTGTACTATTACTGCAAGTCTTAAAACACCCTTTTCAATAGAACTTTTACAATTTTGACAAGAAGCTCGTGCACTTTTCGCGTACTCAACAGAATACGGCAATTCGGCATTCATTATTCTGCTGCTTGTAGTATAATTTCAGTTTCAAATCGTCCTTCTACGATGGAAGCCGTGCATTTACTGAACATTGGATAAAATGCGCGTTACCCGCCAATTCCTTATATATATGGAAACCAAATTCATTTTTTTTTTCAAATATGAAATAAAATAATAAATTAGAATACAGCAATAGCAAATCTTATAATTATGGAACAAAACTATGATTTTATTTATTTACATTTAATGAAAATAAACTGTTAAATACTATCAAATATTTCGCCGGTATGTAGTTGCTGAACCGACCAATTCAGTATAACCGGAAGTAAAATTGAATTTTGCGTAAATCGCAACATTTTTATTTTATATTTATGAATTACTTACTTATGAATTATATTTACTATGATTTAAATATAAATGTTATAAACAACTCGAGACAACTCAAGAGTTGTGAAACAACTCTTTCTAACATGACTTTTTTACTTTATGGATAAGATAGTTAAATATCATATATTATCTTTTAATTAAATTTAACGTTGAATTTATAACTAAAAGATAACATATATTTATGTACATTTATCTCCAAATAATGAAAATACTGTGTTACTATTTTTAATACCACAATGTCTTTCATAATGTGCACGTTAATTAATAATTAACGACCATTATAGTAGTTTAGTTTTACAGCATCCTTTATGCAATTACATTGCAGATTACTGATCATTTGGATATAGTACAGTAAATGTGAAGGAATTAAAGAATAAAATATAAATTTTAATACAATGTTGGTACACTTTATTTTTATAATCATATAATATTGTACAAATTATTACAGTAAACTATATATTTCTGTAATTATGTCTATGAATGTTTCTCTGTTTTACCAACATGACTTGCCATAAAAGTGGCTGGCAAGTGATAGAATTAAATAATACAGCCATACAGTGCAAAAATGCACCGTTATTTTCTTTATTGAATATAGTTTTTTCCCTAAAATCATTACCTACAGTAACGTATAAAACTTATTAAGAAAAAATCGAAATTATTAAATTAAACCTGTTACTTTTTCAACTATCTACATATGTATTAATATAAGCCTATTTATTGATCCATAGTGCATACGAGAACATAATTAACTGTCCTTTTTTATACCACACTATCGCTATACTAGAATAATTTTACATATTTATATATATAATATTTTCATTAAATATTATATATATACATACATAAACATATATATATTTAAATATCGCGATGTGTGCCAGTAAGTTCGGTATTCCATGATAAATTCACCGTTTTAACAGAAAAAATGTATACACATGTGTGTGCCATCCTATTTTATTGATATAATCGTTTATATTATATTCTATGTTAATGTACATTTTTGTTTATATTAAGAGCACGAAAATAAAACTTAATATCTTATTACAATGTTTGCGACGAAAGATTTCAACTTATAGCAGTAATACAATTTACAACTTCGAAAAATTTTCCGATCTCGTATAACTTAGTTCGTACACACAACTTCGTTAAATGTTACAAACCTAAGTAGCGAATTATGTAAGTTTTACATTCGTCGCTTAAAAATACGATGGCGAAATTAGAAAAAAAGGATAGTATACATGTGATAGAAAAAAGTGAGAAAGAATTATCAATACCTATTACATACCAAAAAACATCGCGAGACAGTCTAGGGCACTCTCGTTAATTAGTATAATTTGTTACTTGGTATATTCAGAAATTGCTTCGCAACGCGCAGACACATCGAATATATGGATGTAAGGACAGTTTGCCCCACTTAGTTGTATTAGCGTTAATAACAAAATAGAATTAATTCAAATATATTTGTTTTAGAAAATGAATTTATATTATATGTGAATTTACTATTTAAGAGTGATTTCGCAATATGACATGTGAGTTTCGCATAAAATGTAAATATACTTTGTATTTGTAGGTTTTCATAGGCATGTAGGTCAGGAATATGCAGCTCTAGGATTAACCAAGGAATTAGACTGAAGGCCACCCTTTAATATTTTTACAGTCTATTTTATCTATGTCTGATAACAACAATAAAAATTCTTAAATAAATATATCGGTATAATCATCGATGGAATATTGTTACGCAATCAACTAGTTTTTTGCCAAGAGTTGTAAGATTTATGTGTTGTAATTGCGTCTTAAGCATAATATGCATACACATGTACACGGCACGTTAGTCATTGTATAATACAACGACCATATGGAGTACCACAAAATTACGTGAAATTCAGTAAGACAAGACACATGTATCACTCTGCTGATCATTGCTATTTTCCTCTGCCTTGAGATGCACCCGATCTGGTTGTGGGTTTTGCTGGTTGTGGAATAATTGTTATTTCATCGTTAATCTTCAATGGTTTCAGAAGGGAATCATTGGATCTGGACGATGGAGACGAAGGTGCATTCTTCTTATCCATCACTCTTTTAGCAACGACACTATGTGCCGAATAAACATGATTTTCAAATTGCTTATACATTCCAAATGTGGCAGTGCAAACTGTACATTTATAAGATAGATGCGCCGGTTTTAGTGTCATTCCGTGATCTCGCGCAACATGATTTAGTAATTTCCATTGATATACCTAAAAATTAAGATCCACAACCCTCAAGTATCACACTGTTTCAATTCACAATTCCCAACGTCATATATACATATATGTATAACATACATCGAAGAACGTAAAGAAAATACACTTACTCTGCCGCAAGCAGGACAGCGGCCTGCATCTTTTCCTTTGTTTGCAGCTTCTTGCATACTCGATGTGACCAACCCATGAGATCCAAGTAAATGTCTTTCCAGACCCTATCACAGAAATAACGTATCTCTATAATTTTTATACATGAATTTATCATTCTAATTCGATTCGAAATTTTTTACTTTCAACGGTGAAATTTTACAAGAACAAAAGTTAAGATAACGATACATATCCATTGTCTCGTGTTATACATATTAAAGTAATAAATTTTACAAAAGTAAACAAGATAGCATACATACCTGATCTGTGAAAAACCGAAACTGACATTTTTGGCAATTCAGTGGAGGTCTATTATAAATCATCTTTGGATGTATTTTTACTTTGTGAATCCATTGCATATGATTACGTAGTTGTTCTAAGTCCTGAAAAAAGACAAACAATTTTGTGTTATAAATAAAACATATAAATTGCAAGACATAGTATTTTTCCTTAAATAAAATACATAATTCACCTTAATATAACCATCGCAGATCTCACATATAACAAATGTAGTTTTCCCGCCAGACTTTGATGAAGTTCCTGAACCGGGAGCAGAGGTCTGAGATGTAGTACGCGGTAATGGAGTAATAGATATACTTGGCTGACTTAATAACTTTGCTGTGGGATTCTTAGGACTTGTATTCTGAAAAATATAAAGCATATTAATTACTTTTAAGATATATACATTTCAATTACTAAACATCATTTTTCACAAAGATATGTATGAAATCATATTAAACAGTGTCCATTTAAATGATTCCATAATACGTATATAAATATTTCTTTAAACGTAGTTTTGCTAAACATGTAGATATCCAAATTATACATTTTAAGCATCGGATGAGTATTTTCAAACTCTTTTAGATTAAGTACAAACTTTAACTTACTAACATTAATCTTACAAAGATAATAGAAATCGGTGTTTTAATTGACAAATTAGACAAACTTCCACAATACAGAATATTGAAATTAATAGTTACAGAACCAGTTGCACTGCACACTAATGATATGTTTAATTATAATCTTAAACATATTGTTATGCTCTACAAGCGATTGTGTATAGCTTGAATTATGATAAAGTTGAAGGAACTGGTTACAAAAGCCTTTTGCACCTATAGAACACATCATCCATGCGATCACAAATTTTATGAAATCAATTTAACCTTCCAGGTAGATTCCAACATTTATTTACCTGTGATGAGGGCAATCTAGAGAGAGAGTCGATTACGTTGGGTACAAGTGCAATGGGTGTGGGTTGACCGGAACTGCCGCCGCTACTGCTACTCACTCCCGAGACAGCCGACATGACAGTCCCAGAGCCACCCACCACCTGCCACCACCCATATATTTTTTACTAATTCTTACACTTTGATCTACTTTAATTTGTGAACCCGACTTTCTTATCTGTATAATTTGTTAATATCGATAAAAATGAAAAACACGCCAATGAAAATTCTCTGCAGAAAATAAGAAGAAATAGTTATAGTTGAAAATTTGGATTATCATTTTACCGAATAAAATAGAACAGCAACGTTAACTGGGCCTTCTTTTTTTCCTTAAAGTATACAATTTTATGTAATAATGCAGTATAATATTTAATAAACAACAAATAATACTTCTTATTATACATTTCGTAACATTAGTAATATTTACAAATGATTTCAAAAAGGTATAAAAGTATGGGTACACTAGGCATATCATATGTGTGCTATACAATTACAAACATGTTACTTGTGGGGCATGACTTTACACGATTATCATTGCCCTTGATGTCAATAGATTCTAAGAAAAATGACAGTATTAAGGAACATTTAACATACATAATCTTTCTACTAGTAAAATACTTCGATAATTTTACACTAATTTTCACAAAGATAATGTAGAAGTAAAAACAAGTATTACCTGAAATATTTGGTTGCTACCAAATTGGTATGAAGTAGGGACTAATAAACCAGAAGATGTTGGACGATACATCATTCCTGCAACATTATCTGAAACATTACAGTGTATTACAATCGGACCTATGGGATAAATATAATTGAATTTAGTATGTGATTAGTTTTAAAACGTACCTTGTCGCATTGTTGTACCACCCGGCCGTAACGTCTTCAAATCTGAATATCTTGGTTGCATAGGTGGTCGTCCTCTTCCACGACCTGTAGTGATTGGAGCAGGAAGTAATTTTGGTAAAAGTGGTTGTGGTCCTTTAGCACTCATTGCCATAGCAAGTGCACTCGGATTAGTCGGTCCAACAGGCCTTGTTCTGTTTAATCTCGGAATCTTTGCTGGAGGTTCCCAATCTGTGGCTGGTTCCAAGTTCTTTTCTGGTCTGAATTTTTTAGTACAAGCAAGTATGTGTCGAGTCAATTTGCCTTTTTGATTATCCTCAAACGGACAATTAGGACATTGATGAAAAGCTGGACCACGCTCCAACCTCCCGCGAGTATTATGTTCTGCTTCCATGTGGAATAAAATATCATGAGGACTACGTACTTCGACTGTACAGAAGTTACACTTGTAGACGTAATTGCGCATATGTGGTGTTTCTAAATGATGTTGCATGACTAAGGTTGATTCTGTTTTAAAACTACAGAATTCACATTTTTTCAGTTCTAAGTGGAATGGTTCATTATTTTCTTTACTAAATTCTAGATTCTTTATAAGTGAATTTATAGCTAACTGAGTTTCAGCTGATGTGCTACCTTGTTTGCCTTGTTTACGCTTTTGAGTCCGTAAAAGATCCGTTTGCACATATTCTTGAACAAGATTCACTCCAATTTGCATGAAAAATTTTCCCAATGGTAAATCAAAATAAGTCAATACTTTGTTCCTATCTTCTTGCCTTATGTCTTGTTTATCACTTATATTACTAAATCCAGATTCAGTTAAATCTAATGAATTATCACCTTTGTCCTCTCCATCTTTGCTTTTAGAACTTCCTTCATTTCCGTCGTTTCCTTCATTTTCACTGTCTTCATCTTTGTCTTTGTTTTTCTGACTCGATTCTAACGAGTCTTCTTCACAATCATCCCCTTTATTCTCTTCCATGACTCTATTACTCCTCTCTTCCTTCTCCTTTTCTTCTAAGCATTTTTCTAGTTTTGTGACAAATTCTTTTAATGGTTTAAGAGGTGGTTTTTCATATACATATGGTACTATAAAAGATGGTGCTTCTACTACAAACATATCGTCAGTCAATGTAGGTAATATAGGAGGTGTTACTGTAGGTGTTACCGTAGTCATATTACTGGTTTTAGGACTTAACTGTGCAGATTTTGATGTCATGGGCACAGGGGTAATTGTTGTTCTCATATTAGGATACATTGTTTGCGTAGTCATACCCATTGGAACTACTGAAAATGAACTAGTACTGGAAGCAGTATGATGAGGTTTACTGCTACTCACAGGAACACCACCACGCCCGGAAAGAATAGAATTTGTGTCTATAATAACTAAGGTAGGTTCTTTTTTACCTCCTTTCATAGATTTACTACCAGCTGCAATTTCCACTAGCCGTTTAGTATCATTAACCACAATAGTAGTTTTGCTGTTTTTAATTGGTGATTTCAATTTAGAATTCTCTTTATCTTTACTGTCAATACCAGCTAAAGGATCTTCCATTTTAATTTCTTCTATATCAGAACCATCGTCCTCTACCTCCTCTTCTATTTCTTTTTCTATGTAACTTGTCCTTTTTATATTACGAGAACTTCTTCTTGGCGTAATATTACCAAGATCTATTTGTTTTCTTTGCTTCCTTTGTTTCTGATCTTTGTTAGTACGCTCTGTCGTGGTATTATGACCATTCTTTGCACTGTCTGTTATTTCTTCAATTTCAGGACTACCACAACTTCCATTTTCCTCACAAATTTTCACATCAGTTGTATCTGTGTTACTGTCAACAATCTCGGTACTTTCATTATGCTGCGCTTCACTACTGCTCGATAAATTTTGAATATCCTTAACAGTAGAATTTTTCATAGCGAACACATCATCATTATCAGAGTGTATTTCTGTTACACTTTCGTCAAGACATTCGACATCCGAGTTATTACTCTGTTCATCAACTTCCATAGCCTCACAAGATGTGTTTTTACACTTATCTTCAGTCTTAGACACTTCACTAAAATTGTCCATCTCACTGACACCCTCAGATGATTTAGATGTTTTTGAGTCATTTTCTGACTCTGACATTTCACCCCTGTTACTTCTACTTTGAGCTACCCCATTTTGTTCACTGTCTTCAGATTCTAAATCCCTTTCTTCGATGTCAACTTCCATTTTATTTTCATCTTCGTCATCTTCCCTCCCATTTTCCTCCCTCTTCTCATTTTCAGCACTGTTAATTTCTTTAGATCCAAATTCAGATGCATCGACATTTGCATCATCATACTCTTCTCTGTCATTATAATTTCCATTAACACCATTTGGAATCACATCTGAAAAATGTAAAAAAATATTTTCATAAAGATGTCATTTCAAACATTAAACATATATTATTAAATGAAAGGAAAACTCAAAAATAAAAATGTGAAATATGGACATTCAAAACTAACAAGTTAAGTATCAGTAATATCTTATATAATCTACTTTTAGAATATTAATCATATTATTGAGTGATAGCTTAATAAAACATACATTTAAATACATATCTTATATACATACGCATATCATTATCTATATATTATTGATGATTATACATTAGTAGTATATGGTTCAAAAATAAGATGTTAAATATATTTACAGAAGTTTGTTACAAAATAAGAATTACTTGTACATAATTTAAGCAAGTCTTCTCAATAAAGTACATATTTGATTCAGCGTTACAAAATGTAATACAGTACACTAGTGAACTAAAACAGTAATAACAGTGTTATTATTCAATAACAACTCATGATAGCATAAACACAAAAATAAGTAGTGAACGAATGAGAGGGGTGTTTTAATCATTCAAAAGGAAGCAGTAAACTATACCTTTGAGAACCTTATCAGGACTGGCCTGAGATGAGTCCTTAACAGGGGGTTCTTCCAACGTGCCTTCCATGGGGCCACCACTGTTCAATTGATCTAAACAATTAATAAGAACACAGGAATAAGCGGCTCGTGGCGACGACGCGTTTCATTACATCGACGACATGAACGCGAGGGCGGGCAGAGGGAGGGAATTTTTAGCGGGGCCGAATTTTTCAAAATGGCGCTGCGAATTCCGTACTCCTATTTCCTTGTTCCCATAACCAACAAAGTTCGTGGTACGTTGCCTTCCAGTCGACGCGTCGCCGAAACGCGGTCCAATTGCCCCGGACAGTCTTGGCACGCACAGTTACAGAAGTAATAAAGGGACGGGGAGTCACCCGTGGATAGAAACGATCGGACGAGTAAAGTCCTGGTGAAGTAGCTTGAATGGTTAGCGTCTCTCAGTCAGTCACCTGCACTCGCCAGCCACCGCGTCCGAGCGCCAGCCAGCCAGTCAGCCCTCCGCCGTACCTCTCCTCTCTCAACCTTCACAAACCTACCGAACTACATCTATACCAACGACTTACACATTGAACTTTCGCCTTTTATACACAATAACATATATACACTGACAAGCACCGTAGGTTTCCCTAGGGAAAATGGCGATATAGGGGAAAAAGGCCTCACCGCTCATTCATTTTTTGGTTGGTACATTTTCAAATTTACCAATTTTCGAAATTACATATTTTCAAATTCACGAACTTTCGAATTTAAAAATTGACAGATTTAGCAATTCGGTGATTTAAGAATTTGAAAATATTAAAAACTTAAGGATTTGAAAATTTGGAATTTAGAAATATAGATATATGCGAATTTGGGTACTTAGAGATCCAGGAATTTGAAAACTTAAGGATTAGAGGATTTGGCAGCTTGTGAGAATGTCAGCAATTTAAAGAGTCAGGAATCTAGGATTTAGAAGTACGATCATTTCAAAAGTCGATGATTTGAAAATTTGGAAATATGGAAATTTGAAAATTTGAATATTTAAAAATCTGGAAACTTGCGAATCTGGGAATTGGAAGATTTCAAAATTTGAAACTATGAAGTTTACGTATTTAATTCTCCAAAATTGAAAGTCCTTTCCCATATTATTTCTTAGCCAAAAAATTCTCTGATGCATACAAGTGTATAGTACGCATGCAATCGTACGCACACACGACCTATCAACTTACTATCCATGGATGAACGCGCGAGCGCACAGCCTTCCGAAGTCTATACTACATGCCGGACAGCACACTAACCACCTACGGAACAACCCTATGACCTACCGAATCCGATCATGATACATTGGTCCCCCACGACGATATTGTACTTAAATAATATTTTCGTCTAAATATTCAATCAATCCTACCCATACAATTACAAATACTGAAAACCGCCAAAGATCGTAACACTGATTGAAACACATGATGAAGAAGGAACTAGATAAACGCGGACCATTTTGTCAGATTATCTATAGAAATCTGATCCACCCGATCAGTATTATCCAAGGTTCTAGGAGAATCTTTCAAACAGTTGCTCTCCTTTCAAATGATTTGAAACTCCAAGTGAAATCGTAAAACTGACGCGAAAGGGATAAAGATAAAAATCTTTCTACAAATCTGTTCGGAGGACATAGTGTTCTTAGAGAAGATGCTGGGCATACTTTAACCTAAAGCGATGTTTAGCTGAATACAGCGTGTATGGCGTAAATAATAGTAAAGAGAACTGTAAATTGAAAAACATAAGAGGGAATTCGAGACAGCGTTTGTATGAAATACAAGGAATCCCATTCAGTATGCTCGTTCAAGGCATGTCTCGTGCTACTTAACTCCCTATCCACGAATCCCGGCAGTTCTATGAGGTAATGGAACGCGTACAAACTCCATCCGTATCCTGTCACTAGGCACAAATATACGCACCTGACCGGTTGCTGTCCTAAACGATTCTCAGAGACCGCGACATTTTCACAACCTGCAATCTTCAGCGGTGGCGGTGAAGCTACGAATTCGTCCTTATATGCACGATACACGATTTATTCACAAACCTGTAAATAGTGAACATTCATCGCTGAAAATTAGGCACCAGAGGGCAGGCGCGACGTTGGAAACGTTAAAAAGTTATGCCCAGGGCCGTCATAAAGTCGTGGGCTCTTTTCGTGAGGGTTAAGTCGAGTGAAATAGATAAAAAGAGGTCACTAAACGGAAGGAAAGTTATCTTCGTGATCATTCTACTTAATCTGCACGCTATTCAATTGTTACAGTTTTCTCATTATTTTCATATTCAAATCCTTCGTAGGATTGTTACTTTTCAGGTATCTTGTTATTTTTGCAAAATGATTATAACGTGATATAGCATTAATTTAATATTCGTTGAATTATTGATACCAAATCTTTATCGTTTATTTCATTACAAAAATATAATATATAAATTTAAGAAAATACATTTGAAATACTCTGTTTTTTTTTAATATTGTTACTATGTTCACAAACGAAGAAACACAGTAACGTAGGAAACATGGCTGAATTATTAAATGTAACAAGAAACACCTAACTTGATAGGAAGTACCTAAAAACATGAATACAATCTATAGAAATCTATTTACAAAATTAAGGACAACTACCATAACAATTTTTAGAGATTACGTGTAAAACTTTTCTTAGAACACTATTCTTTATTTGCTGACCACGCGCTGAAGTAGGCGAAATAATGATGCGAGATAACTCGATAACCGAACAGTGTACTTTATATCATTTTAAATTGAAATAAATTGTGAACGATAAAGTTCAATCATAATATCAATCGTAATAATAGTAATGAATTTAATTTTTAACGAGGAATTTTCAATGTGTGCTTACTAAAATAATTGATTTATCTTGTATGAACAAAATTTAATTATACGATATCCTGCTCTGATAACAATCGATATATCGTGTGTAATATCACCACGGCAATAGCAACCTATTTCGACTATAAATCACCGAAAATATATGAATACAATGGTGAAAACAAATTCTGTAAAAATTTAATAAGACATCAGGAGTTAAAGTATAGGGAATTGAGAGGATTGTCACGGCCCTGGTTATATCATGTTATTCAGTAGTACAACTGTACAAATTATAAAATTGGACAAATCAATCGCAAGGCCCTTGGCGTGTTTTATACAATATATATTTATCTCGTCGATGAAAAAATGAACCGGTCATGTCTAACTAGACTTATTAAAATTTAGAAAGCTGCCGCCATTTGTTCGTAAGGGCTGGCTTTAACTGTCGAACAGCTGCCGTGGTGGTCGTTAGCCGATCGCGATTATCCCCCCAAAAGAGGAGCAATAATCGAAACACGCACACATCGCAAATGCCGCGCTATTTAAATTCACTGACCGTTCGAAGCACTGATAAATATTCGACAACACACGCGACTCCTCCGCCACTTGATATACACCGTTTTTATATCAAAATTATTCACATATACTTTGTGTTTATTTGGGTTCGACGTCACGGATCCTCCTTACCTTCGTTGTCGAAAACTGCCAAGATGGCGACGATAATCACGTGACCGCAAATTTTATGACGTATGAGTAATGTTAAAGGGACTAAACGACCAGTAGCGTTTGTTATATATTATCACGTGACTAGGTACACGTGCACGTCCAATGAGAGTCTCTCCCAAGAATAAGGACAATCTGCAATTGCAACAATGTATAATAATAGGGTTGACTAACAAGCCCCCGCCCTTTTATTATGGTATCCTTTCGTATATCCTCCAATCATAATTTGTCCGAAAATATCAAAAAAGAGCTGTAATTTTTGCATAAATTTCTCTGGTTATTAACTTATTACTTAATTTCTCTAATATTCTAAATGGAACATTATAAATTTTTGTTCCTTATTTAATTTTTATTACCTGTAATGTTCGTTTTTTAATTATTTGTTTATGTACGCGATTGAAAATATTAATATATTTAGTTTGAGATAATTTTATTAAAAAATTTCATATGTCTTGTTATGTGTACCTTAAAAACTAAGCAATAATAGTATTCTCATTTAAATATAAATTCATGTACATAAAAATTTTAACATTAATGTTCTATTATGTACAATATTATTTCATTATAAACATAATTATACATAGATGCACAATAATGTACATGTTTAATGCACATTATAAAAAATATGCTTGTTACTTTACATTATAAAAAATATTCTAAACATATAAATAATATTAAAGATAATCTTCATCGTTATCATTGAAAGATAACACTGCCTTTTCCTGTTTTCTTCTCTTCATCTTCTTTTTCACAGGTTTATCTACAGTTTCTGATTCTGTTTCTGATATTTTATTCTTCCTAAATATGATTCGTTTAGATAGATCTGCTGGAGCACTAGCTTCTTCTATAATTCAGTATTTATACATACTTTAATTTTTCACAGATAAATCAATTATCTTTGTTAGAAATGATATAAATTATACCTTCTTCTTTTTTCTTCTTAAATGCTTCAGCTTGTTCCTCTGTTAAATGTTCAGAATTTAATACAACCACAACTGGTTTTTCTTCATCACGTTCTTCTTCATTGTCTGAATCTACTGGCAACACTTCCCTCTGTTTTAAGAAGTCATTTAAATAGTTGTTTATGCTGATTATAAACAAACACTAGTTATATTATACTTGGCAATTTTATTAGACATAAGACGCAAATAATGAATTAAGAAATATAAAATATATTTGTATATACTGATTGATAATATTATACAGTTTCTAAATGATAAATATGTTAAATATAGTTATAAAGAACGTAAAAGAGCAAAATGTACCTTTGTTTCGATTGTGGGTCCTTCTTTATATCCTATTTGTTCTTTTAATTCACGTAGAAATTTTGGCTCATTTGGCTTAATATATGACACATTGTGCTTTTTTCGTGACATTTTGTTAATAATAGTTTCAAACAGTAAATCATAATATAACCTTATTCAGCGCGCATAAGCATAGACTTATGTATTACATAGATAGAGTACCGAGACGTGTCTAGTAAATTTTGCTAGTACATTTCATCGTCCTGGTTGGTACTACGAGAAAGCTATAGCAAAGTCTCCATTGAGCACGATTTTCAAATATAATAAAAAGAGTGCATACAAAGACGAAACCGGAAGTTGAATTTTATTTTCAGTTTTTCATAAAAATTTGTTATAAATATTTTACGTCTACTTCCATCATTCCAAGGAATCAGGGAATAATCAAATCATTTTAACATCGAAATAATACATATTTGATAATTTATTCCTTTCATAATAACGATAATTGTACTATTAACGTTTTCTCATGATTCATGATTTCTCAATCAATTACATAACCAACTATTCATAAAAATTTAATAAAGGCTTAAAAAGGTGTCGGAAAACATCGACATATTTGTACTAATTATACAGAAACAGATATAAAAAAAAACGTCATTCGTTAATCCGACATAATTCAATTAACCGAACATCATAATCAATGTACACGTCCGAAAAAGTTTCAAAAAACGTGATCTATTTATCAATCGTTCGGCGAATACAGTACTAATTGCCATGATATAAAGCTGAATACAAAGGTTTAAATGCAAATAGGTTCGATGCGCGTCTGTATGTCATCGTTCAGAATCTGATTAATTATAATTTATTTAGAGCAATGATTCCCAAACTTTTTTACCCTCAGTATAATAATAGACTCTCGTTATATCGTCACTGGCGATGCTAAAGAAGCAGGGGATTGTTGGAATTGATAATATATAGGGTAGGTCAAAAGGTTTCCTCGATATTGCAACAGTCTCTGGATCTTTGTGCCTTACGTCGGTGGAAGGGGCGCCACTATTGTGCGTGAACATTTACTCAACGGGCATTATAAAGTATCACAATGTAACATATGGCAATACAACGAGTGGGCAATACAACGCGTAGTAGATAACCCAGTTCTAAATTTCCATGGGCATCACAACGTCCCAAGGTATCGCGGCGCACAGTTTGGAAACCATCGATGGATGTTAATTTTCAACAAGAAACACGACTTACAGACGCGTCACCTCGGAATTATTTAGAGCCCTTAATTTCCCATCCGAATGACTAGACCGGCGATGTCGAACTTGCGTGTGCGTATTGATAACGTAGCTACCCTCTTCCTGTCTACTGTGCTTCTCCATCTGAATAATGGGTATGCACCTAGGAGCTGGTCCATCTAGACATTCGCAGCTTAGACTCGCATCCAACTCCGTTTGATAAGGTGGAGGTATCAGTAAACTTTCTGTAGATTTGGTCGGCTGAAAATGTCTGGTGGAACTTCCGGAATAGGTAGTACTACTGCTCGTCCTTCTCTGAACGGTACCGGTCGGCGTTTTCGCTCGTCCGTGGGCACCTTTGCCTGGTCTCTCGGCGCTATGCGTTTTTATAGTGGCCGTGTCCAAATACCCGTATCCAAAGCCATAGCCTCCGAATGCCTTCGTAGTCAGATTGTCCCAGGATTTTGGCTTGGCATACTGAAGGCACGGTGGTGGTCGTTGGTGCACGCTTGGATCCCAATAAAGCGTGTCCGTACTTAGGCTGGTCGAGCAAGAGGCGACGCTGTCAGCAGTGGTCGACACGTCGCTGCTGGTGATGGAATGCAAACTATGTCCCGATGTGCGTGAGCAATTGTGCGTACCATGTTGCTGCTGCTGTTGCGATTGTTCTCGTTGTACGTGGTGATGCTGTACCTGCTGCTGCTGCTGCTGCTGCTGCTGTTGCTGTTGGTGGTGGTTCTGTTCGTTTCTCGCCCTCCTCTGTTTCTCCCGTCGTCTACGACTGGGCACACAATTTGGATCACAACAGGGACTGGCTAAATCGTACGCGTCCAAGCTACCGCTATCCGAGTGTTCTCTACGACGGTTCGCGCTTGAAATACATGCGACGCATAAACTGTTCTGTGGCGGAGGATGAAGCGGAGTCGGTTCTCCGTTCGTATTCGACTGTTGTTGTTGCTGGCAAGATTTATGCATTTTCGACTTGGCTGGCGTGCTGTTCATCCCGTTTGCTTGGTGATAGCTGTGTCGCGACGAAGTGGTCACTCCTGATTCGCTGGACATTTTTGAGAGGAAATGATGGTGGTCGCTGCGGGAGCGAGGAGGGCCTATGGCTACTAAGCAGGCGGCGTTGCGGGGAACCAAGCATGGTCGTCCATCGGCAAACTGCAAATGTATATAGGAATAATTGAGTTCAGTTGTTCAGTGGTTTATATTAGACGAAACTCTATTTCAAAATACCACATTGTAGAGGAGTAAATGTTCCGTGGACGTAGCCGGTCTGCAACACTGAATCGTGGAAGAATTGAAGCTTGACGAGGGCGATGGTTGATTGGGGTTATTGGTGATTACGCTGTTAGGCGTTCTTTTGCGTGCTGGCAGTGAATGGGTTTTCCACCGACCCATGAGAATAGACCGTTCCCTTTCGCAAAGTCTCTCCAATTCACTGAGCCGCGATTGGAGAGCACGTTGTAATTCGATATAACGCATATGCAATTCCACCTGAAAGAAACCGTCGATCCGTCGTGTCCAATTAAGCTTCAACAACGTGGTTAACCGATCGTCGATGGCATTCACGAGGCTGGCCTCACCTTTCTTACACAGTCTTCGAAAGACACGACCATCCGCATCCTAGTATCACAGTTCTTTATGAAATTGACTAACGTCTTGTGATCGGCTCTGTCCATTTCATGGCCATTTATCGAGAGTATCACGTCACCCTCGCGCATACCGGCTTTGAATGCTGGTCCGTCGTACTCGACGTAGTCCACGTATGTGACCATCTCGATTTCTTGCTCCCTTTTGTAATGAATTCCATAGCTCTGTGCAGTTTATCATGATAGTTACTCGATGTGATCTCGCGACAAACGTAAGCACATGGGTTTACTTTACCTGTAACGTGAAACCGTACGTGCCATTCTTCTTCTCGACGATGATGGTACGTCGGCGTCTGTCCTCGTCCGCTCGTGTCACCCGGTCTGACTTTGACCTCTCCAGAACAGCCTACGGAAGAGCGCATTACAACGGTGTGCTCGCACAGTTCGATAAATGCTTTAGCAAAAGAGAAAAAATTCCAATAGAATAGCGTATCTATGCGATAAAAATGTAGCATCGCAACGAAAGCAACGTAACTCAGATATCAGATGCATTTCTTAAGTACTTCTGGATCTATAAAGCGCGATAGTCATGAATAAACAAAAAAAAAAATCTCGTGTAATATAAATGTTGAGTGCAAACAACAATAACAACAACAACAATAACAATAACAACAACAATAAAAACTAAGAATCAGATAATAAGATTCAACACACGTTGTGCAATCCACAGAATTTCCTTGACCACGAAAAACAACTCGAAATGGGCAACAAGAAACTGCTCGAGGAAGGCTGTTTCAGCAAATAAAAATCATTCTTTCGATACACGAGTCGATGTAATAACATTACACATTCCACGACACCACTCCATTCCTCCTCGTCGCTGTTCTCAACGCCGGTCCGGTGTTGTTGCCCGGCCACCTCCGTATTCTGCGGTGAGTTGTTCATGATTCCTTCCACCGCGAGAGGTATATCCTCGCGGAGGGCGACGATCTGTGGGCCCGGTAGTCGATGAAGAACGTTTCTTTTATCACGCGCCGTTTACAATGCTTTACGTTTCACGGTCTCTCTCATTGTGGTTAACATTTTCGGAAGCGACGAGCGAACCAGCCAGCCAGCCAGGCCGCGAGGTTAACGTGCGTTTAGGCGCGATCGCATATGCTCTCTTTTATTGTTATCTTCCTTTTCCCTGGCTGTTGCCGGCCAATGCGCCTGCCCGACAATATCGGCTTACAACCCCGTCGTATTCGCGGCTACCGAGGGTGGTAGAGGAGAGAGCAAGCGCAGTTTCGTCCTCCATCCCTCCTCTCGTGCCATTTACCCCCTTCCGTCACCTTTTATCACCTATCTCTTCTTGTCCCTCCCCTTGGCCCTGCTCTTTCCCCGAGGACAGGAATAACTCCTCGCGTGCAACGTCCTTATGGTTCTGCATAGTCATTTGTTTCGAGGAACGTGTCAATGAACAGATTTTAGTTTATATCAATTGTCCACGCAAATGTTTACGCAGAGAACGTTTGCCAAAGATTGTACGCTCTGCTTTCTCTCTTTTTTAACTTCTAGCTATTTCAAATGACTTGTATTACCACTCGTCAACATTTATATTAGCACGCGAAGTCTCGTAACTAGACTGCGGATGTTTGCGCGTTTATGATATATCAAAGTCTGCAAACTTCAATCATTTGAGGTTGCTTTCATAGATCACATGATTCGTTTACATTTTGCAGACCTCGATATATCATAAATGCATAAACATAGCTCACTCGTAATTTATTTAACCACGAATATCGCTCAATAAATCATCAAAATGTTTTGTGAGTCTTCAAAAATTTATACCGAAAGTAAATCTGCCTAATACCCTTTATCGAAATCACGCGATACCGACTATCTCAGATAAATAGAGTATGCCGATAGGGGTAAATGTTTAACAATGCCGCTTTCAATATGTGTATTCTCCTATCGAACAATAAGCGTACTTTCAACTCGAGCGACGTTTCTAATGAAAATATTGCTTCTCTGCAATCTTCTCGCTGCAAGACCGTTTCCATTTCGGTAGTTCGGTGAATGTACTTCGAACGACGAGAATAACATGTCACGACGACGGCCTCGCTGTCGCTGTAGTCCGATATATTTTTACAAAGGTTTCGGCAGAAAAGAAACATGAAAAGCGCATAAAGAAACACCAGTGAGAAATATTTCGGAGCGAGAATCGCGAAGTACGTAGAGACACACGATGCTATATGTTACACAATGAATCGCTTACTCTGCACTGGAAATGTATCCTATTTCTTTTTCTTCTTCGTTGTACCGCTCTTTTTGTCAACTTTCTGCACGCTGCTTTGCTCCTTGGATACGGTAACCGATGCTTTTTGTCTCGGTAATGGCGGTAGCGGAGGAGGCTTTGGTTTTGGGACGGGAACGTGTCTGGGTGCAATTAATTTTATTTAATATCGACGATCGATGTTGGTATACTGATATTTTTAAATTCTTAAATCCTTAGATTTCTATATCCTCAAATTATGTCTACAAAACCTAGTATGTTCAGACGGTCTATATGTCTAAATTCTTATAAACTAAGTCGTACTTAATATAATAATCAACTACATAAAGTTGAAGCTCTCATAGGATCACAAGTTCACTATTTATCTCTGACCTGTGCTCATAGAAACACGTCACCAGTAATTTTTTAAACAAAAGTTGTTTTCATTCCGTATCAACAAGCTGCGCAACAACAACTTACTTAAAAGCCATACGTATTTCTTGAATAGATCTATCCCGAACGACGTTGATCCAAATGTTGGACTGAGTTCTGGGTTTCAGGCACAATCCTTTGCCCAAACAGCACTCCGCATTATTACGTTCCTCTTCTTCTTGAAATTTCTTTTCCCAACATTCCTCCCACCTACGCAAACGTTCTTTTTCTTCCGCTTCGCGTATCGCGGCCTTTTCTTCCCATTCTCGCCGCCTTTTCTCTCTGGCTCGATCAGATTTCCTCTTCCTCTTGCCCTTTTTCTTTCCACCCTCCGCGTCCATACTCTCCCAGCTTAATTACATCTTCCGGTCGTTTCAATCGCGGGAAAGTCTCGTTTTCGACGATGTTAACGCTCTTCTTGCATTGTTACTCGGATCGAATACCACGTTAATATCGCCTCCTGTTATCAGCACGTCTTCAGCGAAGAGTTTAATAAGTACATCGGCCGGATAAGTGATCTGAAAATCAATGTAATCTGTCAGAACTGTATGCATTGTTCACCACGAGACAAGCTCTAGAATTGCTACGGAAAGTATTTCTCGTTTTGTAATGCATTTTCGTGAACAAACAACTTTACAGCAGTTACACGCTTCTCTGATCGAGAATCGAAGAAAATAGACTTGTTTGTCTGAATTCCTGGAACTCATTTTGTGGTGAACGTATTGAAAAATATGCATGCATCAATAGATACGACTGTTTCACTAATACGTGCTTTCGAAGACGTACACAATTTTAAGAAAATATAATTACCAAGTCTATTGTCCATATTCACGAAAAATTTGCTTCCATGTTAAAATGTTCCATGTTCCATGTTGAAACATGTTTGGTTAACTATCGAAACAAAATCCGACGCTGTCATTTCAATTTATCGAAAACTACTTTACTCAGATCACCTCAGTTCATACTTGTCATGAATGTGATTTATGATTTATTACCTGTCACTGATATAGGAATTCTGGTTTTTCAAGAAAGAAGAATCTTTTCACTTTCCACAGGTGCAACTGTACTCCTTCACAGGGCATCCACACTTTTTCGTAGCCGGCTCACTGAATAAATCACTGAGTCCTTTGGGTCCTTTCGAGGATGCAGTGCAACATGGTGGACACACATCTTTTTGCACCGGTTGCGCACCGCAACAAGGATCGCATTTTCTATCACTCTGCTGAGTGCTGCGTAATCCGCCTAACAGAGATCTTTTATCCTCTTGACTCTTCTGAGGCGACTTGGAAGAGCATGGACAACTTGCTCCTTGTGTGCTGGGAATATACGAATATTATTGTATTGGAAAATTATTTAGTATTTTGAAGCTACTATAATTTGGGTGAATAGCTCTTAAATATTGTCACAGTTGATACACTGCTTTAAATTTTTAAAGTTTCCAATCTCGATATCCTCAAATCCCCAAACCTTCAAATGTCCAAACCTCCAAAACTTCAAACTTCCAAACTTTCAAACTTTCAAACCTTCAAACCTCCAAATCTCCAAACCTTCAAACGTCTAAACGTCCAAACCTCCAAACTTCCAAACTTCCAAACTTCCAACCCTTCAAGCCTCCAAACCTCCAAATTTCCAACATCTCTCAACTTCCAACCCTCCAAGCCTCCACCTCCAAATTTCCAACATCTCTCAACTTCCAACCCTCCAAGCCTCCAAACCTCCAAATTTCCAAACCTTCAAACCTCCAAATCTCCAAACCTTCAAACGTCCAAACCTCCAAACTTCCAAACTTCCAAACTTCCAACCCTTCAAGCCTCCAAACCTCCAAATTTCCAACATCTCTCAACTTCCAACCCTCCAAGCCTCCAAACCTCCAAATTTCCAACATCTCTCAACTTCCAACCCTCCAAGCCTCCAAACCTCCAAATTTCCAACATCTCTCAACTTCCAACCCTCCAAGCCTCCAAACCTCCAAATTTCCAACATCTCTCAACTTCCAACCCTCCAAGCCTCCAAACCTCCAAATTTCCAACATCTCTCAACTTCCAACCCTCCAAGCCTCCAAACCTCCAAATTTCCAACATCTCTCAACTTCCAACCCTCCAAGCCTCCAAACCTCCAAATTTCCAAACCTTCAAACCTCCAAATCTCCAAACCTTCAAACGTCCAAACCTCCAAACTTCCAAACTTCCAAACTTCCAACCCTTCAAGCCTCCAAACTTCCAAATTTCCAACTTCTCTCAACTTCCAACCCTCCAAACCCCCAAATTTCCAACATCTCTCAACTTCCAACCCTCCAAGCCTCCAAACCTCCAAACTTCCCTTCTCTCAACTTCCAACCCTCCCAAAATGACGAACTCCCCAACCTCCCCAAATCTCCAACTACCCCCAAATCTCCAACACAGCAATATACAAAAAGAACAAATACCCAGCAGAAGGTTGTCGACTGGAACAGCAAGGTCGTGGTCCCCAGTCGCTTAACTTGTCAGGTAAAGGCGGACAAGGTGGTGCCACAACAAGAGGTGTCTGACAACAAGTTTTTCCAGCAGACTCGCCACTTCCGTCAATACATTTCTTCGTGCAGGTACACTTCAACGGAGCCGGTGTATCGCAAGAAGAGGGTATCTTCTTGCATTGAAAAACAGGGCTATCTTCGGTGCCTTTGAAGAGGTAGGGTTTCCTATTGTGAGGCACTTGAAACTGGGTGATGATTTTATTTCCGAAACAAGACACCCTTATGTAGACCGTAACCGAGCCAACACATTGACCCGTCACTGTAGTAATTTTGAACGTGTCCTTGATCGTCTGGCAAGGATTCGCGATCTTGAAAACCTTCTGGCTCAACACGGCGTTTATCAAGGCTTTGGCTTCGATCTGGTGACAACCGACCAGCATCACGTCCGGTAGTACTCCGGGAGGTAGTTTCTTGTAGACGGATAACTTCACCGGGAACGAGGTTACTGGCCTTTGGAGTACGATCGATGGCAGAGCGAACAAACAGGATTTGCCTTTCTTGAAGATCTGTGTGTCACCCTCCTCGCAACCGCAACCGTCGGTCAAAGCTTCTTGGCAAATATCGACAGGTGGCAAGCTTAGAATCTATAAACGATGCTAGTAGAAACATTCTATACGATTCAGTAAGTTTTTTAGAAATTACTTGGAAAGATACGCAGGTGCAGGCTGGTAGTAACTCGTCCTGCATTGCTCTAATTACAGGAATCTTAACCTTCTCGACTAGGAATTCGATCAAGAAGAGCTGTTGCTCTTCACCCATTTTGGCCAGAGTAAATCTGCAGACTTGGAATTTTCTTTACATGTTTTCTTTGATTCCGTATTATTTATACTATCGATTTAGGTAGACTAACCAACAATTTAAAATATGTCCAAACTCGGAAGGAAACTAGGGGGCACTATCGATAATTCGATTAAACTACACCTATCTTCTGGTCAAATAAATTCTAAGCAACAGTGTCCGCATATATTTTTAAGAAGACATTCCTCTAACTCTTGCATTGAAAGAACAAAAATTATGCACTATTGGTAGGATGTTTGCAAAGGGTTAATAAGCCAAAGATTAAACATTTTCAATTTAATAAAAAGTTACAAAATACGACATACATAAATTTTATCTATAAATGAATCACTTCTTCTTCTTCTTCTTTTTCTTCTTCCCTTTGCCCTCATCAGTCTGCATTTCCCTGGTCTCGTACCTGATGGGAGGGCCCCTCTCCGGGCCCTTCGGCGTCTTCATCTCCAGCTGTATATCCGACTTCTCTCCAGCTCCCACGATCCCCTTTTTCCCAATCCTCAGCACAAAAACGTCATGTTCAGGATCGACGTTACTCGGATCGATCGCGTCACATTCTGGCGCCACGGTGACCGTAGGTTTCTTGTCGGTGCCAGTGTCTAGGATACCGGACACCTTCAGAACGACCGCCTTTCCGCACGGTTGCGCCGGCCCCCGGCTCGATTGAATCAAACCGGCCTGATGGCAGTTCGGTCTCGACGGCGACCTCGACCCCGGACTCGGTCGTATATCCGCTCCAGCGCATTGTCTTCCGCGGCTGACGTTCGGCTTCAGGGTGGCTCCGCAGGGGTCTCCGCACGGGGTGCAAGGGTGTTGCTCTTTAACGCACACGCGACAAGGAGGTCCTCCGGCGGCTAGGTCGTCCTTCGAGTCCCTGCAGACGTCGGCGACGTGCGGGTCCACGATGCGGCATTTGTACGCCGCCGACTTGTCCTCGACACCCTTGAAAACGTACGAGGACACCGTGCGTTCTGGAGGCGACTCGAACTCGGTCACGATGGTCTGCCCGAACGCGGAGATCCTCACGAACATGCATACATTCCCAATTTCCTCCTCGTTGTACATCAGGGGTACCTCGCCCTCGAACACCCTCGGGGGAGGCGCCATTTTGTGCCAGCATTGGAGCATCTCTTTTCTCAGCGCGGAAAAGGGCATCGTCATGTCCAGTTCGCCTTTGCCGACCAGCACGTCAGGTTTTACGCCTTCTGGCATCGCCTTGTGCACGCACAGTTTGATCACCAAGTCTAAGATCTTGTTGATCACCGAGTACTGATCGATGGCGAACAGTATCGAGCGACCCGAGAAGAAATACTCGATGTCGTCGGCCACGCCGGCTTGAGGCTGGAACAGAGGGTCCACCGGGGTGATTTGGATACCATCTTCGTCCTTGAAATTTAGGAACTCCACGGAAATGGTGGTAGGGACGAAGAACATCTGATTTAGTTTGGCCAAACGTTCGCTGGTTAGGTGGTGGATGAAGAACTCGAGAAGGAAGAGGTATTGTTCTGTCACTTCCGGAGATGACTTGTCCACTCGGCTACCGAACGTGGTCGTCGACGATGAAACCTTCTTGGTTTTGTCATCCTTCGAAGATTTCTTCCTCGAACGATGTCCACGATCCATTAATGCGAACGAGGGTTATTGAACATTTTTAAAAATATTCGGTGACGACAAATTTTCGGTGAAGTAGGTTATAGCATCTCCGTGAAGTTCGCAAGAGTGGCGCGAAGTCTCGATTGCTCGTGAAGATTTCAGCGCGTCATTGATTTCGATTTTTACCTCGTAATTTAACAGAACTACTCGATGGTGTAATTAAAGACATTGTAATCGTGTTTCCTAAAGATACTTCAAAATTCGAACGCGATAAGTAATGTTTAGGTCTCGACGGCGACCTCGACCCCGGACTCGGTCGTATATCCGCTCCAGCGCATTGTCTTCCGCGGCTGACGTTCGGCTTCAGGGTGGCTCCGCAGGGGTCTCCGCACGGGGTGCAAGGGTGTTGCTCTTTAACGCACACGCGACAAGGAGGTCCTCCGGCGGCTAGGTCGTCCTTCGAGTCCCTGCAGACGTCGGCGACGTGCGGGTCCACGATGCGGCATTTGTACGCCGCCGACTTGTCCTCGACACCCTTGAAAACGTACGAGGACACCGTGCGTTCTGGAGGCGACTCGAACTCGGTCACGATGGTCTGCCCGAACGCGGAGATCCTCACGAACATGCATACATTCCCAATTTCCTCCTCGTTGTACATCAGGGGTACCTCGCCCTCGAACACCCTCGGGGGAGGCGCCATTTTGTGCCAGCATTGGAGCATCTCTTTTCTCAGCGCGGAAAAGGGCATCGTCATGTCCAGTTCGCCTTTGCCGACCAGCACGTCAGGTTTTACGCCTTCTGGCATCGCCTTGTGCACGCACAGTTTGATCACCAAGTCTAAGATCTTGTTGATCACCGAGTACTGATCGATGGCGAACAGTATCGAGCGACCCGAGAAGAAATACTCGATGTCGTCGGCCACGCCGGCTTGAGGCTGGAACAGAGGGTCCACCGGGGTGATTTGGATACCATCTTCGTCCTTGAAATTTAGGAACTCCACGGAAATGGTGGTAGGGACGAAGAACATCTGATTTAGTTTGGCCAAACGTTCGCTGGTTAGGTGGTGGATGAAGAACTCGAGAAGGAAGAGGTATTGTTCTGTCACTTCCGGAGATGACTTGTCCACTCGGCTACCGAACGTGGTCGTCGACGATGAAACCTTCTTGGTTTTGTCATCCTTCGAAGATTTCTTCCTCGAACGATGTCCACGATCCATTAATGCGAACGAGGGTTATTGAACATTTTTAAAAATATTCGGTGACGACAAATTTTCGGTGAAGTAGGTTATAGCATCTCCGTGAAGTTCGCAAGAGTGGCGCGAAGTCTCGATTGCTCGTGAAGATTTCAGCGCGTCATTGATTTCGATTTTTACCTCGTAATTTAACAGAACTACTCGATGGTGTAATTAAAGACATTGTAATCGTGTTTCCTAAAGATACTTCAAAATTCGAACGCGATAAGTAATGTTTATCGGTTTTCCGTTATCAAAGGGCTACCCATAGGTATCTCTGTTTGCAATGACAAGCGCAGTTTCCATAAAACTTAAATGAATCATCGGTCGATGATTTTGTAACGATTGTGTTATCGACATGACGTGTTGCAAATAGAAAATTCAAAATACTTCAGTAAATTACAGTGATTTCGAAAATGTTTATGGTAAGATATCTTTGTACGAGTCGTCGAATTTTCTAACACAGTGCATCAGTTTCCAGAACCACCTCCGCTCGATTATCACTTAACTGATATCTCCCCGGCTTTCGTGGCAGACGGCATATTTTATCCAGGAAGAGCAACTGCCTGTCATAAATATATTGCCAAGCAACTAAGACCGATCAAGAGAACCCTACGTAGGTTTATCGCTTCAAATAACTCTTATCTCGATTAAACATGCACGATAACAATTTCCCCCTACTCGATGTTATTCTTGGAGTCCGAAGAACGCTACTACATTTTTAACCCTTCTCGACTTATTCGAATTCATATTTTACTATATTTTCCAAAGTATTTACGGTACTTGTTACGTTAATTTGGTACAAGTAGTCGGAAAGTTGGACGAATATCAAGGGCTTAATTTTATGAGATCAATCAGCTTGCCGAGAGAGTTGAAACAGAACCTAATTAAAATACTAGCTGAAAAGCTAGTGCAGAATTAACGAGAAATCAAAGTATTCGATTAAAACGAAAACGAGTAGATGTAATTGATTTCGTAGTAGGCGATAATGGAACGTAACACGCGATGGTCAAGATATATTTGTCTCGTATCATTGAATCGAACCGTTCTCGGTTAATGGCATTTAAGACGATGTCACAATTGAGTTAAGACGATCGAATTAGATGAATGTTCGTGTAATAATTGTTGCAGGCGACCCGATAGCGCCGCCACAGGAATTAGACTCGAGAACTTTAAACCGGACACTCGAAAGAGAGAAGGGAGGATACGTGTATCCTTGTGGCAAGGATGACGGGATAGTTTACGATACTCTTGGATCGATGCCTAAATGGAAACGAGATCTGAATGGAGGACAACCATGTATTACGTATTTATATTCTAATTATAGTATCACGGTTTATAATTTTATACCTTGACATCTAAATTTATTTTTATTTATTAAACACAATTTTATGTTTATCAATTTGTCAAATATTGTCAATTTTTAAATAATTTGTCAAATAATTTTTTGTCAAATCTGTCGTTATTTTTCAAACAAAAGTTTTTTAGTTTTTTTTATACAAATTTTCGACAGACAAATGCTACATTTTTTTAAAATAAAAATACTCAGATCAGCTCAATTTTTTTAACAGAAGTTAACTTTAAATATTACCACAGAAAATGAAAATAAAATGGAATTACATTTGACTTGCTTATCTCGCTGCACAGTTTGAAGGTCAACAAATGTTGATACAGTAACTGCATTCGTAGTATTTATTTAATAAACGATACATTCGAGTAATCTTTTTTTACGTGTAACGATTACATTGTCGAGGTCATTTATCTGATCCTATGTGGACAGAACGGTCCTCCGTAGTTAAGAACCGTCTGGAATATTAATTGTTCTCCATTTAAACTAATGAAGGAATACATTCTGGCCAAGCAATTTCGACCAATCGAATATCGGTCATATAAATAACGGTACGTCCGAGAAGCAATCTATGATGAAACGAGTTGTGCACGACACTAATTTGCTAATGAGTCTCGAGTGATTTGTAACCCAATTTCAGACGTTATTTTTTCAACCCTTTTCATCAAACCAGAACTCTTAATGCAACCTTCAAAAGATATTACAGAATAATTGGTTCAAAGAGTACTAATGGGACCAAGTTCACTGGACTATTCTGTCCACGTGGTTGAAAATGTTCAATAAATTGATGCTATTACGAATTGAAATTTTGTACAGCTTTGTACTCTACGTTCCCACGATCGAGGCAGTATGAACTATCTTATATTCGTGAGAGACGGCTAGCTAAAAGATGTAGAAAACCCATTGTGAAATCTAGTGAAAAGGAGCAAGAAACGGTTAAGTATGTCATTTATTTTCAGTGCCATAGACTCTCGGTGGCAAAAAATATGCACGAGAGTCCACGTGACGGTGGTAATATAACGAGAGTCTACTGTACATGATCCATCAATTATTCCCAGAGTGGACGAAGTGCCATGTCATTTCTTGGAACCTCCGATTTGGTGGAAGGGTGGAAAAGGAAAACCAAGCCGTCTCCCCGTAGGAAACATCAACGACTACGCGTACGATAAAGGAGAATTAGCGGATCAACTCGATATTAAAATCAGTGAGAAGCTTCACATGGATCATCCGATGAAATATATACCCGGTGTCATTCATCGGATAAAGGTATTAATAAACTCCGATAATGCTCGTCTCCTATCTCTTACATTATCAGGCTGGCTTTCAAAATGGACGGGTTTAAACGATTTGTCCGTCACAATGTTGGCGTGAGAACATTGTATTTGCAGAATTAAATATCCGGAATGCCACATATTCTCGAAACCTACGCGTCATTCATCACAAGACGCAATTGTCGAGTACATGCAAAGTTTGCTTGTACACGTTGTTTCACGAGTTGAGAAGCATTTGTTTACCTTACGATTCACAGGTTGCACGAAATAGATCAAGGTTGTCACCTTTGCTAGCGTCTGAACAAACACTCGTTCAGCTGTACAATTAACTTTGTGACTTAATTTTATCGAGCGATTCCGAAAACTTTGAAATACTTGTTCGATTGAATGTTTGTATTTGAACAGAATCCAGAAGACACGAGCATGAAGGATGTCCTCGAACGAGCGGACACTTTCAAAGTTGTGGTCGCAAAGGTTGAAAGCTTGCCAGAAGATAGTCCACCTGTTGACAAACGTATCTGTTCTCCTCGAAAAAGTCGTAGGTGTCCTTTGCAGCTTCTCTAAAATATTCCTACCTACGTTTAGAGAATCTTCCTACGCAAACGAATCTGTGATTCTAATTCGAACACCATTGCAGCTCGTACAAAGGATCAAGATTTGCCAAAAATTCACACGGCGCCTTGTGATAACGATCGCCGATGGCAGGCGAGCTATAAGAGTACAGATGTTGTGTCTAATGACGCAGAACGACAAAGGAAACTGCGAAGACTAACGAGACCGTTCTCGCACGAGTTACATGTCTGGTATTTGAAAAATAAACCAACCAAACTGCAAGTGTCTGTCAGACATGCGGGAAAAAGACCAATTCCTGAGAGGAGGTTCTCTCACTTATAATTCTGTATAAAAATATTAAAATAAAATTAAAATTATTGTATTTAAAATAGTCTAAACATATTGGTATTTTAGCATTAAAAGTTTTTAAAAAATAGCGCCATTTAGCTTTCGGCTCCGTCCCTGTAATCGCGTCTATTCAAATTGTACGCAACTAGGTTAAAAACATACGCGCATTAGGCCCAAAGGAAACACTATCACGGTTGATAATAAATCAGCACCGAGTAGTTGCGAAACGTTTCGCATAGATACATTATATTTCACTACGATGAATCTTGAATATTATTCAATTAATGTCGCTATCTTCTTTGTTTCGTATTTCAATCGAATGAAATGAATATGCAATTTGCAAGCGTCTCGTACGAATTAGTTTTTAATTCGCAGAATTGATTTGTCGCGTAGTCTTACGATTGAATTACGCCGTCTGCACCCTATGATGCGATTACGTTTCTTTTATGCATGATGTTTGCGAATTCCAGAAAACGACGCAGTCAGTATGTCAGCAAGAATTGTTACAGTTTCGAACATCTAATTATAATGTTGCGTCATTTTGGTTGTATTTAATATATGTAATGTATTAATACATTACATTGTTACATATTTATCAATGTATTAATATGTATACGTATTATATATATGTATTATTAATATTAATAATATATATGTATTATTATATATACATTAATGTATTATTATATATACATTAATGTATTAATATATTTAATACATGTAATGTATTAAATAAAGAAACGATTAATTTTTGAGATTAAAAAAGGTACTTCCCGCCTATCGCATTTTCGTTTCATTCATTACCCTCCGCTCGATAATCGAAGAATCGACTGCACGCTCGATCATGCGCAGTCACGTGTGATAGATTAAAATTTTTCGCTCGTTCAGTGATTAATGGAAGGTGACATAGCGTGTTTGTAACCGTTTATCGCGATTCCATTAAAAAATAGCGTCGAACATTACGTAACATTATACAATACGTTTATAATTGTAACGATACGTATCAGTAATCTAACACCGATTCACGGATCAAGCGTTGAAGGGAAATATGAACTAAAATCTTGCTTCGTTTTATCGTCATAATATTGATTAGCTTCCGTCTTAAGAAATATGATTTATTCGTCCCATATTACGTTTTTAGAAATTATTTAATACAAGTAATTTTTGTGTTAAATTTTGTATACATAATAACGTAGTTAATTATTCAAGCAACTATCGAGTTCCCATCGATTATCGAACGTAACTATTTGACATTTTGATCGCTTAAATCATATGGTTGTATACACGGACTGTGACATGCCGTTCAGAATTTCATCATATGGATTTGACCACGTGCCTGCCTAACTAGCTTAATATGAAAACCGCGCCTTCACAGTGGATATTGATTACACATATAGTAAACTAAACCACGCAGCTATATTAACTAATTCATGGAGTCGAAGCAACATTTTTCGAATGAATGAATAAACGAGGCTTGATAGAAACTTTTAAATAACGGAAATGCCAAGTATCACGCCCCCAAACTATTTCGTGTCTCCTTTCTAAGTCTCGCGTTTCGATAATAAAAATATAATTGTTCTCGTTGTTTAGTCACGTGATCCCTGTATGCACATCATAGCATAGATCATCGGTTAATAATTTAAAAACAGCGGAAATCGTGTAGCAGAATTCGATTGCGATGGGGAAGGAGGAGGACGTTCGACCTCTAGCGGTTGATCGACGAAACGCGGAGGACGCTCTTCCGGGGACTAAAGTTTTCAGTTTATTCTTGCACGGCGTGCGTCCGTAACGGCAGTCTCTTTTTGTCGGTCGATGTTCGCGGCGGTATACGCCGGTACGTGTGGTAGGAACTGTTGGACGCTTCGTGAATTTTGTTGTGTTATATTCACGTTGCGATTAGTTTGTTAATTACCGCGACACTGTGCGTACCGGCGTTTGCCAGAAATGAAGTAACGTCAAGCGACAGGATTCATCCGCACGCGTCACGCTTTTCTTCTGTACCATAAAACCCAACTTATACTCACCTAACGACAGGTACGTGTATCTCTAATTTACTCATCCTCGTTGTCTCTGCTACTATTTAAAAAGTCCTTGCACTCGATGTCAATTGTAAAATAGGAGGGAACGTTACGACCAAAGTTTCGTTTATGATCGATCGATATTCAAATTGTAATCTCGAGTGGAACCGTGTTATCGATTTTGATCGATCAGGATCGATTCGCGTTCGAAATGTTTACGTTTAACCGACAAGGTATCTTATCCAATGATTCGAACGAGACTGTTTGGATTTATACAGAAATCTAAAATAAAAATAAATACATACGTTATTTGTACATAGTGGTTTTGTAAAGTTGTAGAAATTAACCTCAAAATCAAATAGTATCCGCACTTTTTTGAAACAGATGTTTCGGGTAGGAGTGCAATGATGCAATATGCATCATAGACCTGTGCAGATAAAATTTTTAAAAATATTTTACATTTAAAAATAGAATTTCAAAAGAATTTTATGTAACAAAGAATAAAGTTAAGGAGGTACATCACGTCGACACAACGGTATATTTTTCCCTCTGCCTGACCCCAAGATGCCACGTCGATCTAAATATCGACATTTACAATTCCATTAATCTTTTTCTGTTCGAAGAAACTTCAACTGTCAGCATACATTTTAGGATGTTTTGTTCGCGCCTTCGGTGCGTTCAAGCATTGTTTACCATGAATTCATGAAAAATGTACACCTTGGTGCAATGTAGTCTTCCTCTGGACAGGGACTGATGTAGTGGAACAATCTATTATTGTCTTCATTATTCTAAATAAATAAATATAGAATATTTCCAGATTCTTAGTTTCCAAATCCAAAGTTTCCAACTTCTTAAATTTCTAAAATTTTGAAGTCAAATGCTTCTTGATCCGAATCGACTATGCCCATATGTGTACATGTAAATTTCGAGAAAGAGAAAGCATTACAATGCTTCAGAATACCAATTCCCGTCACCGCATATTTTATCCTTCAGAAATCTTTTCCTCTTGAATTTGTCGTATTATTATCGACTCATTAATCTTAATCGACGAAAGTGTTGTATTGATTAGAAAAATAATTAAACAATGCAGAAATTTTAATTCGTGGAAACAAAAACGTGAGAGGATCGATCCATATCGATAGTCTGTAGTAGTTGCATCTGATTCGTAATGATAATTTAATGACAGATATAAAAAACTCGTTTACTGTTCGAGACATAATATCGATGAGATACGAAGAAGAGGATGATGCATCTGGAAATTCTTGACATGTGTCGGAGAAGACTGCAAGTTCTTTACCGTGTTTCGTCAGTGGAATCGTGCCGCTACGAGCACGTGGTTATACTAAGTTTGTGGTAGACGCGACTTGTATGGTTCGTGATGGTGGCAGTTCCATCGTACGATGGCCTCGTATGATGTAACCTCGCGTCGATATTTCGGACTTGCGCGTTGAAACTATTCTATACTATATAGACGAATTCGTTCGTTGCACCTTCGCGTCACAGAAATCGATTTTCTCGCGTAAATTAAGTCACACTTCTTATCGACCATCGTTATTGTTGTATGCCTCGAGAACGCTTGTAACGCAACAGTCCGTGTCGTGCTAATTAGTGGGCACGTCTATGTATGTATATTCGCAGATAAAATGTGTGAAGTGCCAAAAGATACATTTCTTTTTTCATTACCGCTTTATGGTTAAACTTGCAAATCACTGACTGGAAGAAACTCATCGATAAATTGTATCGACATATTTCGTAATTCGTATTGAATTTATTATTCTGTTAAAAAATACAAAATGGATGAGAACAGAAAGTCCGGTTTAATCAGACGTATCCGTAAGAGGAAATTTCTTAGAATTCACCAGACTAAAGTTTCTTAAGAAAATGGAAGAATTCAGCGAAGCTTGTGCAATCGTACGCTACAGTTTCTTATAGCAATTCAAATTTCCCGCTTCTATTCAATTTTGGCTCGCATGAATTTCCATTTATTTTAATCTGCGACAATTGTTCTGACTTTATAATAAGTTCTTGACTTACGACGTTGATTGTTCGACTAAGTTTAAAATAAAAAATATTATAATTAAGAATCTAGCCGAACTAGTATATACATAAGATCGAGAAACTTGAACTCCAGGGGAAACCGGTCGAATACGCAATAATCCAAGAACCTTTGCGCGGTATATATGAATAATTTCATTGACCTTGCAGTTATTGCAATCTTACCTTGAAGATTGACATTCATTGATACGATAACTTGATTTATGCGTTCAAAATATTTTATCGATTATTTACGTATATCAATTTGTGCTTCATAAACAATTTCTTGATTGTAACAAGTTGTTTGTGTTTTAAAAACTGTTTATTAATATTACTACATAAAACCGGTTCATCAATCGTTCGAACAAACAAACTTTGGCATCCACAAGTACTTGACAGAGAACTAGAAAACTTAGTTTCAAGGTGACCCGCATTTCAAAGTCTGTGCAGGTAACTATACTATTCTGACACATGCACTCTTATTAAAAATGTAACGCACATGACGGGACCGCTGTAAATAACGAGGGATCATAACCATGAAAAAGAAACGCTGTTGATATTATGTTACTAATCATTCTGATGAGGCGTAGTGAAAAACACGGACATTGTACACTGATATTTCCAGGAATTTCTGCGGTCCGAAGATTGTTCTGCTTAGAAAACTTCAGGTATAAATGCATTCGAACACCGGATGGACAATGGACCCAGTGCAACCATACCTGCTAGTATTGTATCTAGGATTATGCTCGGAAAGATTCGGGCGGGAACCCGAGGGTTTCCTGAATACGAGCTGTCGCCCGATCCCACCCGATTCCGCCCGATTTTTTCCGAACTACGTTTGAAGCTCTGATTCCCACCATAATCGATTACTCACGCATTTTTAATATTTCACTTTTTAATCCTGCCATGAAAAAATGATCTTTAAGGTTAATATTTTTTATTACTCGTTTTAAATATTTATATGTACAGTTTACTGTCGTCAATATTTGTCACACTATCGTTCCCTCTGTGCATATCTACTTATAGATAAACCGTGTTTATTTCCTTTTTCCGTTATTTAGTTTGGCAGGCAATTTACCGACTTCTTGCTCGTTTCAGCGTTGCAATATGATTTGCAACATCGTAAAATCATAAAATAGTAGAACATATCTTTCAATTAAATTTTGCTTCGTCACGTTTCTGTAGAAGAAACATATGACGTAAACTATGGTATAAACGATGATTACAGGAGTGCTATGTTTACCCGGAAAGGTAATGCTTTGAGGTTATTTTAGAATTGGAGATTCTAAAGCCGGCGTGAAACACCATTGGTGGTTCCCTTTCCTATACCTTCCATCTGCGAATCGCCATGTTCGAAACATAAATCACAGAATTATTTGTACACGTCTATATTTATCGAGAAATAACAATCAATCTTGCAAGTAACAATTGCAACTTATCTGATATTGGAACATGCTACAAGTACCACAGTGATACAAGTACCATGGTTTCTCAAGAAATTTTGAAAAAGCAAGTCATCGTGCAACATGACATCATTGTAGGAATGATAGGTAGAAACTGTAAATATTAGTTTAGTTAATTTTTCCTCAGATAGTAAAAAAAGATTACGCGATGCTGACTAATTCAATCAACTTTAACAAATGCTTAATTCACAATTGGCCACAAGTAAAAGAATTTGATATATCGACAACCTAATTTTGAGCCCAGATTAATTATAACCTCATAAACATTTACATCGATAAATATATCTAAAGGCAGGTCAACAAAACCGTTCGATCAACAAGAAGTTTTATCGACAAAGAATTACTGCATCCTGTCAAATGTAATTCTAATAAAGTTTTGGATGACTCGCAAAAGTTTAAGCATTGGGTAACCAACATTAAATTTATCTTCTTATTTATAAACAATTTTAGACAAACTTCGTCGTTATTTTCCATTCTTTGAATCTACCTTATCTATCGTCTATACGTCTTTTTATTTTAAAGCTATTTAGCGATTTGGTAATAGTATTAACTAAAATTGACCGCAATGAACAAAAGGTTAACTCTGAAAGTTGAACGACCTAATTTTCCACATAACACTCGCTCCGGTAATTGCCGTTTTAACGAGGATAGATTAAAGATTAATTAATTCCAATGTGAATTGCTAGGATCGTTGCTGCAATTACTATCTGTCATAGTAGTTTTATCTGATTTTACTTCAATCATAAGTTACTTAAAAATTGAAAAAAGACGCTAGTTTCCCTGAACTGTATATTACTGGGCGAATGCCAAGCGTTAATTACATAATGTTTCTTTCACATGTCCGTCAAATGTGCAGTTTTTATTTCGCTATTCGGCGCGACACGTGAGCGGCCACAAATTATTACTTTGACTTTATTTCCACTGTAAAAATATAGGCTACGACGGAATAATTATTAGATTCAGTTGTGTGCTCGATATTGGAGAATTTGCACGTGTACGCCCTTTAATATCATGCAAATCAGCCTATATTGTTAAATGTGTAATTGCGTCGCTCTCGTGGAAACATTTAATTACACGCTCAAGTTGAGTTGAGCAATTTTAAACTTTCCGCTACTTTTACATACAGCGGACCGTACCAAGAAATTGGACACGGATTTCGCTAATTTATGAACTTTCTTATTTTTGGATTTTGGGGTCTTGGGAAATTGGGACGTTGAGTTTGCAATTTTTTGGCTTTGGTACTTTTGGGTTTTGGGAGTTTGGGATCTTGGAATTAGTAGGTTTTGAGACTTTGAGATTTTTTAATTTTGGGACTTAGGAACTTTGAAATTTTGGGACCTTGAGAGTTCCAAAGTCCCAAAATTGAGATCTTGGGGTTTTGGGACCTTGGGATTATTAGATTTTGGGGCTTTGAGAAATTTTGAGACTGAGACACTGAAATTTTGGGACTTTAAGGCTTTGAAATTTTGGAACCTTGAGAGTTCCAACGTTCCAAAATTTCAGACCTTGGGGTTTTGGGACCTTGAGAGTTCCAACGTCTCAAAATTTCAGACCTTGGGGTTTTGGGACCTTGAGAGTTCCAAAGTCCCAAAATTTGGGACCTTGGGGTTTTGGGACCTTGAGAGTTCCAAAGTCCCAAAATTTGGGACCTTGGAATGTGGAACCTTGAGAGTTCCAACGTCCCAAAATTAGGACCTTGAGGTTTTGGAACCTTGAGAGTTCCAACGTCCCAAAATTGGGACCTTAAGGTTTTGGGACCTTGAGAGTTCCAAAGTCCCAAAATTTGGGACCTTGGAATGTGGAACCTTGAGAGTTCCAACGTCCCAAAATTAGGACCTTGAGGTTTTGGAACCTTGAGAGTTCCAAAGTCCCAAAATTTGGGGCCTTGGAATTATTAGATTTTGGGACTTTGAAGCTCTGAAATTTTGTAACCTTGAAATTCCAAACCTCCCAAAATTTGAGACCCTGGAATTTCGAGACTTCAGACTATAAAACTATGTAATCTAAAAAAGCTTGGAATCTTCAAATTTTTGGCACTATCTTCAGAAACTTAAAACTTCACAGTGTCATAAAAAATTACCATCTATAAAAAAAATTTGAAAAATTGAAAGTTACATAAACAGTTACTATAATAAATTGAACAAACTATGTAATAACAGTAAAATTTGTCAATATCTGTAGTAATCGCGGAAACTTATTCCGACGAGATAGCACGTAGACTTAGAGAGTGGTTTCGCGTTATTTTTAGGCACGACGGGCATATACGTTAGCTAGTGCGTACACGATTACTAAATGGTTCTACGTTTTTGAGGACAATGTTAAAAAATTCCTTTAACTTTATACAGTTTCTCTGCGCTTTGTGGATATACGATAAATTTTTGCATAAAATATTTTACGGTACAGTAACAAACTAATTATGTAATAAAAACCTGAAAATAAATAAGATTACGTGGAGCTGAACCGAAATAAATTTGTAAGTTTAGCCACAACCATTCGATATATAAAGCTTTTAGCTAAATTAACGTCGAGTTGTGGTTGGTCAGTTACAGTAAGAAAATTGATAAAAAAAAGTATGTTGTTTAAAACCTTGTGTCAGTTTCGCTGAGAAATAAAATACGCAAGTAGCGTGCCTTCGGAGCTTGTTTAAAAAAAGTGTTTGATACAGAGACACTCTTTGTTCAAGCATCACAAAGTATTTAAGTATAATAATAGCGAGAGCGAACAAAGGGTCTTTCATCGGTTACATTGGTAATAATCCAACGATCGTATAAATCTTTGGACAAATAATTTCTATTGTTGTTAGTAACAGTACTAATATTTGAAGCGGCAGAAAAATAACTCCATCACATGATTTAGAAATTTAGATTCCTAGTTTCGTGGACCTCGCTGTTGCACCAATAACCTAGATAGCAGATCCAAATTCCACTGTTTCTCAATTTACTTTTGCAGTCTTAGCTGTTCCTCTAAACTTGAGATGATTCGCTTCTGGCAACAAAATTTCCAAAATATGTCGTTCTGAGGTTCGACACATTTACACCGGTTAACTATAACTGACGGTGTTCTTAAGCAATCGACTACGTCATTAATTACGTACTTAGAAACTTCGACCATCGTAACGGGAAATTAGCTAATACGTTTAATCTGTTTTGTCTATTATTTCTTTTAATGCAAAACATGCAATACTGTTTACGCATAATTTTCAAAGGTTGTCGATATTACAAATTATTATTACAGTGTCAAGTTATGAAACAACTTAAAATTACGTACCACACTTGATACAAAATTTGAAATGCTTAACGAGCTAGAATTCGTAAGGTCTGTTATGTACACAACATACGAAAAACATAATTCTGCTAACATGACTGTCCTTCAATTTTAGGAAATGTCAAGATTACGTTCCTTCAAACTAGTTCCACAAACAGTTTTATAAAGCCCGGTTCATATTATCGATATATAAATGATTGTATACTTTGATCCGTGATCGATCAAATATTAATTCTATTATATAAATTCATGTTTTGATGTAAGGTAGACAGATCGGTCACAATGCAAAGTTATACCACGTGCATAACTCGTGCTTGAACGTGTCGCGTGTGTGACCCACGCCTTAATGCTAAATCGTGTGTGTGACTCAAGTGGCAGCGTTAAATTGTTGCGTGACCTACGCATCAATGTAAAATCCCGTGAGACTCATGATTCAGTGTTAAATTACACGTGTTGCATCGGTGAAATCTGGTTGGTGACCTTACGGTAAATTGTGAGTGACCCACGGCATGTGGTTAACTTAAATGAGTGACCCACAGTGCGATATTAAATGACTGAAATGATGTACACTTTGGAGTCTCATTGTTCGAGTGACCCACTCATCGATTTCAAATTTTACGAATGACCCACGTTTCGGGTTCCAATTAGACGAGTGACCCACGCTTCGATTTTAAACTGTATGAGTGACCCACTCTTAAATTTCAAATTATACGAGTGACCCACATATCAGGCACTAATTTACGAGTGACCCACGCTTCTATTTCAAATTGTGCGAGTGACCCACTCTTCAATTTCAAATTATACGAGTGACCCACTCTTAAATTTCAAATTATATGAGTGACCAACACATCAGGCACTGATTTGCGAGTGACCCACGCTTCTATTTCAAATTGTGCGAGTGACCCACTCTTCAATTTCAAATTATACGAATGAACCATGTATTTATTCCAAATTGTATGAGTGACCCACGCACCCAGCTCGAATCATGACGATGACCCACGTGTAGATTTCAAATGGTACGGGTGACCCACTCTTCAAATTCAAATTATACGAGTGAACCATGTATTTATTCCAAATTATATGAGTGACCCACGCACCCAGCTCGAATCATGACGATGACCCACGTGTAGATTTCAAATGGTACGAGTGACCCACTCTTCAAATTCAAATTAGATGAGCGACTCGTGTATTTGTTTCAAATTATATGGATGACCCACGCGTCGGGTTCGATTTGTACAAGTGACCCACGCTTCGAATTCAAATTGTACGAGTGACCCATTGTTCGATTTCAAATTATATAAGTGACCTATATATTTGTTTCAAATTGTATGGATGACCCACACACAATGTCAAATTGTTCGGGTGACCCACGCACAAATTCTATAAATGACCCGCGCTTCGATTTTAAATTGTATGGATCACCCACGTCCCAATATTAAATCGTACGAATGAATCACGCATCAAACTTAAATAACATATGTGACCCACGCGTCGGCGTTAATTCGGGTCCGTGACCCAATCATCGACGTAAAATTCCATAAGCGATCCCAAGATTTAAATCACGCGAGCTTGTCCTAATTTTATATTATACGTAACCCACTCGACAATGCTAAATCATGCGAATGACCCACGCTTCCTCCCAATAACTTATCTGCAATATAATGGAATAATATGTGATCGAAACAAGAGCGGACCTTGAACGGATCGGGGCTTAAAACGTCTTGGACACATTGTGAAAACAGTTATTTAACAGAGCGTCGATTTGCAGCCTTGTGTTTATGATAATTTTTATTCGTATTGGTATAGTAACCTCCCACACTTTTTGCATTTCCTTCTACGTCATTAAGTGCACGTAGAACCGCAATATTGCAAGGTCAAAGTCTCGAGAGAAGCTAAATGTTATCTCCCGGAGACGCTGATTTACATAACGATGCCAAAAGGGTATCGTAACGATAGCTTGATCGTATCTTAATTATCAACGATCGCAAGAAAGTATTACGAGAGTGATTGAATTATAATTTGATACGATTTGTTACGAATTTGTTAACTCTGTTCCATTTATTGCACATTTGTTAGAATGTTATTTACTGCGTCGGAACACTACGCGTCAACGCAGCATATTTCATTAATGTATTTGTGCCCATCCTCGTTTGAAGTCAATTATAAAACAAAAGACGTGATTACAATTATTTAGCATTTGATTAGCGACTAGTATTTAATTTAAATTCGAAGCAGATGAATTTGAAAAAAAAAACTATGTTAGAGATCTTGAAACTAAGTTAGGTAATGTAAATGGAGGAATGAAAATTATGATTATACCTTTGCACTACGTTCACTTATGCGGACTGTGCCTATCTGACCACAGGAATACTGAGGCATTTTGTGATAATCGTGCTTTTAGAGCGATAAGCATTCGATTAGCATGACGAATTAAGTTGATAAGCTGATGATAATATCTTGTTACCCCAAACATTAATAGTTATTTTTATACACATAAAAAATGTAGCAAAGAAACACCTTGATATAAAATAAATTGAACACATTCATTTATAATAGATAAAAGTTACTATTTACTTGTTATCAACATTTTACAATACATATTCATTGTTTGTTTCAGGTGGAACAATTTAGAAACGTTGCAAAACAAAAAGTCTCAAAATGGTATGTAAAAAGCAGTTATTATACATTTATGTTATCTGGTTAATTATTAACAATAATTGTTATATAATATTTCCTTTTTAGGATAACAAAGTACCGACGGAGATGGACACCTTCTTACCCCAAGATGGGTCCAATCCAAAAGATGGGGTATTAACCAAGTAAGATGATTTTAAATTCACAAATAATCGAAGTCTGATTTTCGATAGAGCAACATTTTATATGGTCATCCATTTTATTTGACATAACGTATTAATTCTTGTTGCAGATACAAAGTGCAAGTTGCTTCACGAGACGTGGAAACTGGCCAGGGTGATGGAAAAACGTTTGATCCCTTCAGCGAACGAAGAGTAGATAACCCGACGACGTAAGAGCGATTGCGATATATAAGAGATTTACAAAAATATTTAATATAATCGATACTTTCAACTTTGCTCGGTACACTTGTCTGTAATCATTACGCATCGTTTATACACTTAGGTCAAAGATCACAGCAATAATAAAGCCGATATTTAATGAAATATTGGAGATTAAAAGTCCTTTATTAAAAAAGTAATTCCTTAGTTTATATTGGCTGACGATCAATTGATTTTGAAATTAAACTTCTTAAGTAAACTAAGAACGTAACGATGAAACGTATGAGGTATTTGGAAGTATATGTAAATAAGGATCTAGGGATATAGGTATTTAGGAATGTATATCTAAATATAACATACACATGTTTCACTTGAAAAGTATGCTCGGTATTTTCTTACATTTATTTAAAGAACAACAAGACTGTTTTTCATTGTATAGCACAGACACCCATTAAACAATTTTCTTGTATCATTCCAGTGACTGCGACACGTTAACGCATTTACTAAAAGCCTCGCTTGGAACAGGCATACTGTCTATGCCAGTTGCGTTCAAGAACGCGGGTCTTCTCCTTGGTGTGTTTTCCACGATCTTGGTAGCATTTGTATGCACACACTGTGCATATATCTTGGTAAATAAACGCTAAGATATTAAGTCCGATAATGAACAGTATAACAGAGATTTAATACTTAAATTTATGACTTAGGTAAAATGTGCACACGTCCTTTATTACAAAACAAGGCGTTCAGAGATGAGCTTTGCCGACGTAGCAGAAGCTGCGTTTTCTACGGGACCACAATGGGGAAGAAAGTTTGCAAAGCCAATTAGGTAAAACGGGTTTATCTTGTGGATAACAGTACCATGTATAATTAGATATGATAACAATGTATGATCTCTTTATCTATAGGTATCTTATACAAATTAGTTTATTCGCAACGTACTTCGGCACCTGCAGCGTGTACACCGTCATCGTTGCTACGAACTTCAACCAAATTATTCATCACTATAAAGATGCGGAGACTCCGGACTTCAGTTTGCGATTGATGATCGCTTGTTTATTGATCCCGATGATACTTCTCAGTTATGTACCCAATCTGAAGTATCTTGCACCTGTTTCTATGGTTGCCAATATCTTCATGGGAACAGGACTAGGAATAACCTTTTACTACTTGGTTTGGGATCTCCCCTCTTTCAACTCTGTGCCTTTATTTGCGTCCATAGAGGATTTCCCAAAATTCTTCAGCATTACTATTTTTGCAATGGAAGCAATAGGTACTCTTCATTGATCTTTGATTATTCGAATGTATACCCAAGGAATTGCGACTAAAGGAATAGTGTTTCAGGTGTTGTAATGCCACTGGAGAATAATATGAAAACACCGCAACATTTTGTTGGAATCTGTGGTGTTCTTAATAAAGGAATGTCTGGAGTTACGTTGATATATATTTTGTTGGGATTCTTAGGATACCTAAAGTATGGTATTCGAACTGAGGACACTATCACGTTGAATTTACCAATGGAAGAAATGTAAGGGTCACAGTTGCAGTCTCGCTATATGCCAATTACTAGTGTAGCACAACTGTGGTACTAATTATATTTCGTGTTTTTTTTTTTTTTTACAGACCAGCCCAAGTTGTACAAATTTTAATAGCACTTGCAGTTTACTGTACATTCGGTTTGCAGTTTTATGTGTGCCTTGATATTGCATGGAACGGTATCAAAGACCGATTCCAGAAGAAACCGTTATTAGCAAACTATATTTTGAGAACAGTAATAGTTACAGGAGCAGGTATGAGTCTTATACTTGATAACATGTTGCGTAACATGATTTTGTTTACGAGTAATGTTAGCATTGATATTACAGAAGAGATTAAACGAAATATATTTATATTGCAGTTTTACTGGCCGTGATTGTACCAACTATCGGACCTTTTATCGGTCTAATTGGTGCATTCTGTTTTTCGATATTGGGACTTTTAATTCCCGTGTTTATCGAAACAGTAACATATTGGGACGTTGGTTTTGGAGCAGGAAATTGGGTAGCGCTAAAGAACATCATCATATGTATTATTGGTTTCATGGCTTTAGTATTTGGATCTCGCAGTTCATTAATACAAATCGTAGCGCTGTACAGTTAAAAATTACTTTTGTCAATAATAGATTAGTAGATATTCCAATGTTCCAAACTGTAAAATGTTTGGATGCCGTTTTTTAACAGATTTTAATGCAATAAATTTCTGAACTTTTATATTTTATAAAGACAATCATAAAAGTGAAGAAAGTTTTATAAACGAGAAACACTAATTATAATAATTTGTTTTAAGAATGAATACAATGCAGAATATACAGAAGTTTATATCACAAATTTGAATGCCATGTACGCGATTGCTAGAAGTATTTCAGTAAAATGAGAAGAAAGTATTTATTATACCAATGTTTCAAATGCTGTGCAAATGAAAATATCAAAAATAAATTCTTCTAAGAACAATAAACCGATGAATCGATATTCGGTACAAACGATAATTTAAATTATATCTACGCACAAATAACCAGTACAATATCAGAAATAATATCCACGAAGGTTATATGAGAAGATTTAATAGTTGAAAAGTAGCTAATGAATTATTAGATATAATAAATGTTCTTATTTATAAAATTTAATGTTTAAAAATTATATAGAATCTATTAATTATACAAACTAGGAAAAACTAACAGTATTTAGATTATGAATAATATTTTGTATTTGATCAGTAAGTTAAAAACAATTTCAATTGCCCAAAATGATTAACCTTATTTAATGCAGTGCGAATTCTTCTTTTAATCTAAAACTTTTATATTTTTATAACTGTAATTGTATGCTATTTGGATTATATATAGGAATATTTATATGCATCAGTTGATTTTGAGTTATTAATCAAATCTCAGAGTATAACCTTCCATGTTTTCTAAATTTAAGAACACAATTTGTTAATTTATAGTAAATATAAAAAATTGTTATAATAATCAAAACATATATATGAAATTTCTATGGAAAGTTTTAGATATAAAAATTGTGCACGAGAAAATAAGTTCCTGTTACATAAACTGTGCATATAATAGATACACAGTATATGAAATGTTTCACTCTTGTGTGTTGCATTTAATATAAATACATATTTTGAAAAGAAAAAGGATATAGTTTTTTTTCAAAGCTACATTGCTTACCAAACTTGTAATCAATTTTTTATACAATTGTTGGAAATATTTACATATTCACAATTAAAAAAAATACAAAATGGAATTATTGTAACTTTAAAATACAAGTCATTTTATAACATGTTCTTATGTTTTATTGTTCCAAACTTTATCGTACACCTTAAGAAGTAATACTTTTATGTAAATAATAATTACATTTTTATATGTTAATGTTAATAGTACAAAATATTAGATCTACATTTTGCCTTATCAATTTATATTAACTGTACATTGATATTAATCTAAATGAAGCATGGAAATAAAAATTTAACAGGTTATTTTTCTAATGGTGCATAATTTAGAAGTTTTTCAATTAAGTCTACATGTCCAAGGAGCATTCTGCGGCAACAATATCGTTTTAATCCCAATGCATCAAGCGCATCTCTGTAACATACACATGTACCACATAATGCAATAATATCTACAGCTTAAATTTCATGAAAGGTAGATAACTCTTTATATAAATATATACTTTTTGAAACGATAGTTGAAAAACATTACAATTCATTATTTGACTGAATTTAATGCACTTTAGTTGATTGCAATGAACTCGAAGTTAAGGTTAAGTTTCTTATCAATATGGGTATTATGCATAAATTACAAAGTGTACATGTAAGTTATGATGTTTCCATTAATTTGCTAATATATTTTTAAATGAAAATTGTATACTTACCCTTCTGTGTATTCTGCCTGTAATAAACCAAGATAAGCTTCCCATTTGTTACCGATCACTTTCCCACAAGTAAAACAACGTACAGGTATAATCATTGTTCAAAATTTCACTGAACAATTCAATTATTTCAATATGTGTCAATATGTGTGATTCGTTTCAACCAACTCGCTTTCACACTACGGATAATGAGAAGCTTTAAAATTTATTTCTTCTCGAAAGCTCGATCGAACTTGCTGTATACATCGAATAATATGGCCACTATTCCAAATCACTTTGAAGTATTCCGATATTATGCATTGCTGCCAACACAAATAGTGCAAATAAATAAATGTTCTTTGAGAAAATCGCGGTACTAAACATGGTTTTACTCTCACTACGCACATCTTCTATGATTGGATGATAATACGCAGGCGCTCTAATAACATTTATAATTCCGAGCACGTATATCTAGTGATCTTTTATTTGCTATACTCTCTTATATCATTTATTCCTTCCATTATTTATATATTTTTGTTCACCGTGTATATAAGCACGAAGCGAGAAGAAAACTGTAGATTGACACCATACTAATAATAAAGAATTTTCTGAAATCAGCTGAGGTGCGCAGAGTTACTTGGTTCTTTCGAGAAACAAAGAATAGTCAAGTGGATCAGTCAAGAAGATTACAATACTGAGAGAGAAGCCTCATAAATTTATTGTAAATATTTGAATTACAGTTGCATATAGTTATTATAGTTAAGAAACGTTAGAACAAAATATATACATTTAATAATCGTCTTACATTATTCAAATATACAAAATCAAATCGTAAGTTATAAGTAAAATCATGTCCTAAATTAACCTGTAATGGAGGAATATTTTTTAATCCTCCTTTTAACAAATGTAAATATTCTCGTGAATATTCCATCAAATAATAAGTCGGGTGTCAAGATGAATATTCTAAGCGCGACGCAATAACGGTGACCATACGGTTCCCATGACCAGTAACGCCGTTAGCGTTAGATAAACGAGGCCCTGTTCTTAAGAGACTACGCATTATATTGCCACGTATTGTATTGCCACGCATGATGTTGGCCATATATTATATTATGAACGTATTATATGGCCACATGAAAATCTATTAAATATAGGGATCTATGTCTTTTAAATGCATCAATTCCAAAATTTAAAATTTCGATTTTTGTTTGGGGTTCCGAAAATTGTAGCAACGGCTCTGCTCATGAAATTATACCAACTAAAACTGTGGTTGTATGTTTGTTCTTCCATCGATTGTTATTAACAATGTACTGTGAAAATATAAAATCACCAAGAATATATGATTCTTGGTAATAAACAACGGTTAAACAAAGTCTGAGAAGTGTGGTGACAATTCGAAACGCGGTCGTTCGTAAGCGCGTTCGAAAGGTAAATATACATCTTCGCGTCTCGCGCGCCCGGAGACAAGCCGTGGCAGAGAGACAGCTGCTCCGATCGAAGGACATGAATAGGGGGGGTGGAAGGGAAAGAGGGAGAAAGAGAAAAATACGAGGCCGAAGCAAAGGGAGAACACCATAAACATACAAGATTGGATTGGTTCTGCTTTCTCCTTTGTCTGCTGGATGGAAACATGTTATAATACGGTTAGACCGCTATCAAATCGTCTCTCTAATTATTATTTCTTACCGCGCGCGTTTACCGTTGCCGTATCAGAAACCGGAAAGATCGGAATTTTGGCGCCGTATACCGACGCGACATCAATGACAGTGTAAATGGTTATGTTAGCACAGCGTACTTTTTTACGTGCATTTCATCGAGTACGTTCTCGCAGTTTATTGTTTTCGGTCACTCTTGTTGCCCAATCGTTCGACCGTCTTATCAAACTCGTGCTCACGATAAATACTTCGCATCGCCAATAACGTTGAGTCAAGGTTATATCCTGTGCGTCTTTTTCGCTGTATTGTCAAAATCAGCTGCCATTGCTATAGCGTACGATTCTACTTGTTCTTTTTTGGTTTTTCTCTTTTTTTTATAACTTGAGCTGCACTCATCGTTCCCGAAATTTCATTCAAGATCGACGACTCGTGTTGTGTTTAGTCTTTTAAAACCGAATACGGCAAGTTATATCTTCGATTAAAAGAAGCGGTATATTTTACTAAATTTACACACCACTACATCTATCAATACAAGTAGATGTAGATTAGAAGTATAATAGAATAAATAAGATTAAGTATTTTTAACGAATTTTATAAGCAAATTATATTATTTTTGTATATTATCTATTTATCTAATAATGTTTGATTCTATTCAATATTTTAAAACATAAGTAAATGTTTGAAAGTATTAATAATAATATGTTATTTTGTTATTATACATATGTAAGGCATTAATACTAATGTAACTTATAGTTTTTTATATAATAATAAGTCAATTAATTTTTGTGTATATGTTTATGATTTTGGAAACGATTACGTTCAGCAATAAATACATATTACTCTGTTATTAATTTTATATATTATAGTAACTATTGCAATTTAACTTATAATATACAATATTTTATTAAAAGTTTATTTTTCATTTATACTTACGTATTTGTAAGATATGTTGCAGGATCTGAGGATTGATATCGCGTTGTACATCTATATAATAGAAAGAGCAAACGACAGTGGTAAAGCACATTTGTTAATTTCAATTGAGACAAATAGGTGCAAAGAGATTTTTAGTAGGGAGGAAAATACAAAGGGTAGAAGTGAGGGTTAAGCGCGGCAGCAGTAAATGCAGTGGCTGAAGGAGAGATGGACCCATCAATGTTTGTTGCGTACACCCCTCAAACAAACGGCGTTCCACTGGAGTCCAAGCTTGCTACCTACATGGTAGTATACTACTCATCTGCACTTTATTTGAGGAGAGTCAAACTTAGTAAAACTTTCCTTTTATATTATTTGATTAGATGTATTAGCAAATTAAATATATTAATAATGGCACTAGAAGCATATACATATGTAGTTTATTTGTTATATATTTTTTGGATAGAATCGTCAAAGTCCAGGGATAACGCTAAGTACCTCAGCTGTTACGAAACATTTGTCAAACCTTTCTCTGGATTCACAGAAAAAGGTAACTGCCAGTCCAGAATTTGTACCTGGAAGGGGTCTTAGTAGTAACAGCAGTTCTCCAAATCTTTTCAATAACTCTTATCATTCGCAAGAAAATGTGGGCGGTACTACTTATTTTTATCTTGGAAATACTTCAGCTGATGGTGTTGGAGTTGAAGAAGGAACTGAAACTGTGAGTAAATGTTAAAATTAAGATCAACAGGTTACAGATGTTTATGCAGACTAAATATGGGTATTAGGTTTTTTTTGTTTAATTGATCAATAAATAATATTTGATTGACAGATTGGAACTGTGGGAGCAGGTCAGGTAGGCTATGTCTATCCAGGTACACCTGCGCATCTTCAGCCAGTGAAACCTACAAAGCCCCCCTCATCTAATAGCTCTTCTGCTCCTTCAACCCCACCTCCCCAAGCAACTCCTAGCTTCTTTGTCAGTGAGAATTTAAGAATGGACATTCTACAGAAAAATGCTTTAACATTAGCGCAACCTGATTTAGTACGATTTCCCGATTTACCGAACGAGGTAGATAATTATCATGAGCTGTGTCCATTGGAACCAATTCACAAACCTGCTTCTACTATACTTGGATATCAAACTTCAACGTACAAAGCTACCAGCATTAAGAGCGGTACCCGTTATTGTTTACGCCGTATACATGGTAAGCGTCTCTCGTTATTACAGATTACTTAACAGTATTTAAAGAGTGGTACCGAAGAAAGCATGTCATGTCTTTTTAGATTTCAGACTCGCTAATACAAAATGCATGGTGCTGGTAGATATGTGGAAACGACTATCGCATACAAATTTGGTGCAGTTAAGAGAAGTTTTCACCACCAAGGCCTTTGGTGACCATTGTCCGTATTATTGTAGCTAGAAAAACTGTAGATATATCTTTATAAAACAACCTTACTATTACAGCCATGGTATTTGTCTACGATTATCATCCTGGATCGGAAACATTATTAAATAAGCATTTCTCAGCAACCGAATTAAATGGGTACACGGATCCATTTTCCTCGGATCCTAACGCTCCTCGACCCTATAGCCATACCAAGAATACTATTTTGAGGCAACAACATAGCAGTATGTTACCAGAAAGCGTCATATGGAGCTACATTATACAACTCACTGCCGCACTTCGTGTTATACATGCTGCTGGTTTGTATATTTGACTACACTTTTACGTATTTTGTTTTCTGATAAACTGTACCATTTTTCTTTTCTTGTTATGTATAGGTTTGGCATACAGATGTTTAGATCCAACAAAAGTGCTCCTCACATCTCGGACGAGACTGCGTTTAAGTTGCGTAGCCATACCAGATGTTGTTACTTTCGATGGAAACGCAGCAAATCCACTCTCTCTTATACCACATTATCAACAAGAAGATTTAATTGCCCTTGGGAAGTTGGTGTTGGCTTTAGCATGCCGTAGTTTACTTGCCGTCCATCGCGACAACATGCAAGCGTCCCTTGAACTCGTCGCACGTTCCTACTCCACGGATCTTCGAAATCTGATTCTGTTTGTATATTTTATACCCTTCTTATAGATTCATTTGGCTTCTCGTGACAAATCTGGTGAAAAGTGAACATTATTTAACGCATTTATTATTTCTTAATATTTGAACAGAGCTTTTCTTTCTATTGCGATTCTCTCATACTTGGATATAATTTTATAGGTATTTACTTTCTAACCAAGCACGAAGAAGCGTGACAGATCTCATGCCAATGATTGGTGCACGATTTTATACGCAACTAGACGCAGCTCAACTTCGATCCGACGTACTGGAAAATGAACTTGCGAAGGAGTTGGAGAACGGAAGATTATTTAAGTTATTAGTAAAGTTGGCAACTATTAACGAAAGACCTGAGCTCAATATGGAACCCACATGGGCAGAAACGGGTGACCGGTACATGCTCAAATTGTTTAGGGACTATGTTTTCCACCAGGTAGCAGCTGATGGGAGACCATGGTTAGATATGGCTCATGTTGTATCTTGTTTAAATAAGTTGGATTCAGGTTCTCAGGATAAGGTATACTTTTTCTTTTTCCTCTTCAAAATACGTTGCTCTGATATTTTTCGTAGGTAAATTTTTTTTGTAATTTTCATAACCTTATAGATATGTTTGATGTCTCGAGACGAACAAAGTGTATTAGTAGTAAGTTACGCAGAATTACGACAGTGTTTGGAAACCTCATTTGGAGAATTGGTACAATCCGCAAAAGATGCTGTCTAGGTCTGATCATTTTTCTCAATTGACCAAGACGGTACATACTCCGAACCATAAATGTGATATCACCACTTAGCGGTACTATCATTTTAATCTTTATCAAGACATAGGAGAGTGAGATTCGATCCGAGAGTTAAGTTTGGTGATAAGAAAATAGTATGTGAACCAGTTTGTAAGCATGATTACAAATGTTGAATCATTAGATAAGTGCGAAAATACATTCTGGTACTGCCATTTGAATGTAATATATGTGTGCAAAGAGATCATGTGATGATGTAAATCAGAAATCGTTTGAATTTGCTGTGGAAGCTATTACGGTACTATACAGAAACAAAAAATGAATTGTACACAACTTAATAATGCAATGAAGTCTTAAGAAAAAAAAATGAGAAATACCTAAACACAGTCGGTGTATAGGATAGATCTTAGTTTTTAGGATACAGCTGGTAAGCATTAATTTTGAAATAAATGTTTATTTTTGAAAGCAATCTTAATCGATGGTGTAGTTATTTCAAATTCATTTACGTTTTTATTCATTTATTTTCAACGTTATTTTGTGTAAAATTAGCACGTAATCGAAAACGTTACGACGAACGTATTCGATACTCGTAGAAATCTGGGTACTTCGTTTGTTCCAGTTTATCCAGTTGGCAATCTGTAGATTCGGTTCTTGAACTGTCCTATCTACATTCCCTACCGCTCTCCTCCTCTCTTCGACTGCTGTCCGCAATCACTCAAACTTGATCTCATTTCCTTCGCGCAATTGCACGACCACAGTATGGACAGACTTTTGCGCACACATTCTCCGGATCGTATCATGAACATGGTCGCCGCTAGTATTTTATTCACTCATCTTATACGTATATACACATTTTTTCACTATAAACTTAATTAAAATATTCACGTTTTAAGTAATAATTTTTGCAAAGAATATCTTTGGATCAATTGTAGAATTTTGTAACACTTTTGTACTCAGGGTCAAAGCGTGTTAAGGCTTCCAAACTTCATAGAAGAATAAATGAAGGATGCAACAACTATTTACTGCAAACAACTTCGAATAAAATAATTCTTACTATTGGAAAAAAGGAAAGGAAATATATACAATGTCATTTTTTTAAAAAGCAGACTTACTACATTCTGAGATCCAGGTCTCTAAATACTGTGTATCGACGCCCATGCATTTATCCTACGTACGTCCTGTGGTTCGAATAAACGTTGAACTTACACGGAGCTGACCGTGGAGTCGAAATAAAAGGCATATCAAACATCTGTTTCTGTCCAAGACACATTAACCGATTCGACTGGGCCCATCGTTCTCCACCTAATTGTCTTAATGCCGACGTGATTTACTCCCCCGTACCGTGTCATTTCTGACAATCACTCTCCTCGTACACGTATCAACTGTATATACGTGCTATGATCGCGTGTAAGTCTTCATTTTATTCGACATCAGCCCGCTAACCCAGAGACGTCGCACAAATACTATATGATATTATCGTTTTTTTTATCGTAATACGATAATTCTATTAACTTTTGCAAACTAGTGTCGTTTTGTATAACAATGTAAGTCAAGGTCTTAACAATTAGCCTAAAATTTGCAAAACGAAAGTAAATTCAAAATGAGATTCACATTGACCTGATTTGGATATTCAAGTATTAAATTAATTTATCGTTGTACAACGAGAAAATGGAATGTTCTAAGGTACATTTATAACAGGATCGTAAAAGCCTTGATGCCTTTAAATCCAGTTTCACTGGTTGTTAAGAAACTAAATACAACATGGGAGCAGCGAACCCTTGCGCAAGCGATTTTTCTTCTGATCGTCCCACGATCATGAAACTGGATTGCGCGGAAGGTCGCACGAAACAGTTCGAAAAAACGACCGGTCGGTATGCTCCTCTGGACAAGAAACTACTTCTAGCCTGGCAATTAAGGTACCAGCGAATGTATATGACCCGACGCCGAGAAAGAACGTCTAACTTCTTCTATGTGTTCCAAGAAAAGCAAGATACCAGAGAAACGTGCTCAAGCAATATATGGTGCACGAGCGTCTCGTTGGTCTGCTTGTATTCTCCTCTTGCCTCTTTCGAGAAGTCGAGGTATTACGATAAAAAAAATTTTACCAGAATTTACTTATCGAGCGTGTGGGTCGAATAAGAACTCGACTCAACGCATTGGTCAACGTTGACGTTCGTTAGCGTGTGTTTTTTCCCTTATAACGGTTAACCGCTGTTCAGACCGTACAAACATACACGCGCACGGTTTAACCGTGCATACCGTGTTTTGCATCCGATTCGTTTGAATCGATATTCTTGCCTACTCACAGTCGTGGTTTAATCGCCGCTTTACAGAGATTAATCGTTCGCTAGATACGGGAGACAAGTTATCGGATAATGTATGTGTGTCGTGGCAAATTTTCGTGGGAATGGTAGTAACGCGGTTTACATAGGGTTTATTAAAAAACATGTTTCCTCAGTCGCGATAGCGTAGAAACAATTTCCTTTCTTTTTCATTTGCAAACTCTGCAAAAAGGTAAACTTTGCTCGTGAAGCAATATCTCTAGCGAACAGTTACTAATCCTAGCGGGAACTGAGGGAATTTAAGGTTAATAAAAACAAACTTGTAAAATTTATATGTACTTACTATTTTGTTTATAGTATATCACAAGTTATATTACGAAAAATCTCTGCAGAGTCTAAAAATAGACTCAACCGGTACGATGATATTACATTTTATTTCGAGTACAAATATAAATTTTCATCCGACTCGATAAAAAAATCGTTACAGGGAAAACAGTTCGAAGTTTAAAAATAGATCTCCCGCCTTGTAAAGGTTAAACATTTAATAATTTTCTACATCCGTCTCGAGCACATTGATCCATATTTACTCGGTAGATTACTCTCTGTTTAATCCTTTCCGGCTTCGTCTTTAATCCCACTGTGTTACAAACGATTAGCAGCGTTATCTCGCAGGGCGGGATAATATTTATTATTTCGTGAGTTTATGGTTGGATTGTAACAAGCGATGCAAAATAGCGATGTAAATAAGTACCGTGGGGAGCACCAGTGTTTCTCCGGGGAGAATGCTGACGTAGGGGAACGGTCTCGTTGATCTTTGCTTGGCAAATTTTCAAATGTGCAAACGCGAGAATGCAAAGACTTGAAAATTTCGGAGATCTACAAATTTGGGGCTCTAGTTAGAACTTTAGAATTGCAAGATATACATAAGAAAATTAAAATTTTTGAATTTTGGTATCAAGTAGTTCGTTATGTAGGGATTTTGAAATCTAGGGATATGGAAATTGCCTACAAATTCTGTGCGCTAGAAATTAATGAAGCTATTTTGGGGTTTATGGAATTGAGTCTATTGAAGGTATAAATTTGAAGACGGATAAAATCGTGAAATTCACGTGTTTATCGAGAGGAAGCGTTGCAGTGGAGCGTAGACAGGTAGAGGTTCTAAAATATCCTTGATTGCAGCGACGAGGGCGACGCTGGTAGCGGCAACCCCGCGTGCTGGTCGCGCGAAGGTTGCTGCTGCGTAGCCTCGGAGGGATGGTAAAGAGCGGCGCACACAGCACACAGAGAGGAGAAGAGGTCGTGGAGCGGGTAGAGCGGTAGTGGCTGTGGCAGCAGCAACACGTAGTACACGGTAGCACCTCGACGAGGACGGAGCCGCTTGTATACGTCGCTTGGTAGACTCGCTTCGAGCCAGTCTCTTTCGGTCCAGTGGCGCAGTCGCGTTACGCGGATACATTTTTCCGTATCTCTCCGACCACTACCACCATTCTACACCACTACCAACGACACTGTTACCACCGCTACCACCACCTGCACCGTCGAGCGTGTCAACATACGCGTAACGTCACCAGGACCAAGCATCGGGTTGTTCCTGGACAGTAATTCCACAAAAGTGAGGGCTCGCATCCTCGAAACGACCTGAGGTAAGTGATCGATCCTTTTTCGACATTTTTTCGAGATTAGCGTCCGTCGATCGGCGAGCGTGAAAATGGTGGCCTTTTATGTACGCGGCTTTTCGTCCGCCGCGACGCGAACCTTCCTCGAACACCATAGCGTTTCGTTCTGCATGCTCTCTCCGTCTATTCCCATCGATTTTCCACGGCAAGACCCGCCCTGTAATTTAACGTTCTCTCCCTCTTTCTCTTCGTCTGTCTGTACTTTATCCTTTTTATTTTCACGCTCCGCGTTAAAGCTCGCAGACGTTACGTACGAAGTCTGATCGTAATTGTCTCGATTATCGAAACTAGCTGCGGATCCTTTTTCGGGAGAGCGCGCGAGTGTTTGCCGTCGACGATCGATGGACTCTATCGGCTTCTCTCTTTTACCCTCTATCTTCGAATCCGTCGACGGACGTTTCTTTCTGACGCGATACCGTCAGCTAGATGCTCTGCTCTCGATGGTCCACGCGTTCTTATCGATTCTCGATACAAAACTACGATCGAAGCCCGATCGCGTTCGAGCGTAATTCGCGAAACTTTTTCTTAGCTACTTTTACGAATAAGTACAATGCGAGATCATCGATTCTTTCTGTTTTAAAGTCACCGCTGATGCATTGTAGCATATGCTCTTTGTACGTTTTTATTCGAATATCGAACGAGAGTCCAATTGAATTCGTTGTTTACGTTTGATCTTTATGCACGCCGTTTTTCTCGTGGAGACATCGGTCTGAATTATCACAACAAACCTCTATCTCAGAAAGAATTCGTTCAAAGAAACTTTGCCGTAAATACGTACTTTAGATTCAAACTTTACGAAAATATTGTCTGAACTGAAAGTCGGGGTAAACACGATGGAGTCTGGTTCTCAATTTCCCTATCAATCTCTGTCTTCTTAGAATTATTTGTATAATCAAATTTTCATCTCAAGTTTCTTCTCAGCATAGATAATTACGTACCCGATAATAATAAAAAGATTTTAAAAATTACATAAAGAACTGGTAACTGATACGATATTTTTAGTGGGTACTTTGAAGATACCATACTCCATAAAAAGGTACAGCTCACACGCATTCACTCGTACACATACATGTCTCACTTTTTTACGCAACAAGGTTCTCGATATGAAAAGTGTAGTACACGTTTATCTCGAACAGAGTGATGGGCTCTGTGGTAGCCGATGTTTAACGATTTTTCGAGCTGCACATCATCCTCTGCTCGTGTTAATTCATTAAAGAATATCGAGTAAACGATGTGTTACCCTTTGAAATAAATCACGCGGAAAATATATGTCGCTCATTTTTGTTCTGTTCACGTTTGAATCGAGAACAGGTTCGCTAGACAATTTCTTTTACTACAATAGTAGAAACATTTTTTTAACTGTTGTACGCAGTGAGCGTTTTTATCTTCGCTAAATGGCACTCATCGTTCACGGTCGAATTTCGAGGGTTGTTAATTTAATGGTGTCGGTAAACTGTTGCATGAAATGCTATTCATAGCAGCGTGAGAATATTTAACAGTTTGTTCCTCCGTCTATTACCTCTGACGCGATACCGTCAGCTAGATGCTCTGCTCTCGATGGTCCACGCGTTCTTATCGATTCTCGATACAAAACTACGATCGAAGCCCGATCGCGTTCGAGCGTAATTCGCGAAACTTTTTCTTAGCTACTTTTACGAATAAGTACAATGCGAGATCATCGATTCTTTCTGTTTTAAAGTCACCGCTGATGCATTGTAGCATATGCTCTTTGTACGTTTTTATTCGAATATCGAACGAGAGTCCAATTGAATTCGTTGTTTACGTTTGATCTTTATGCACGCCGTTTTTCTCGTGGAGACATCGGTCTGAATTATCACAACAAACCTCTATCTCAGAAAGAATTCGTTCAAAGAAACTTTGCCGTAAATACGTACTTTAGATTCAAACTTTACGAAAATATTGTCTGAACTGAAAGTCGGGGTAAACACGATGGAGTCTGGTTCTCAATTTCCCTATCAATCTCTGTCTTCTTAGAATTATTTGTATAATCAAATTTTCATCTCAAGTTTCTTCTCAGCATAGATAATTACGTACCCGATAATAATAAAAAGATTTTAAAAATTACATAAAGAACTGGTAACTGATACGATATTTTTAGTGGGTACTTTGAAGATACCATACTCCATAAAAAGGTACAGCTCACACGCATTCACTCGTACACATACATGTCTCACTTTTTTACGCAACAAGGTTCTCGATATGAAAAGTGTAGTACACGTTTATCTCGAACAGAGTGATGGGCTCTGTGGTAGCCGATGTTTAACGATTTTTCGAGCTGCACATCATCCTCTGCTCGTGTTAATTCATTAAAGAATATCGAGTAAACGATGTGTTACCCTTTGAAATAAATCACGCGGAAAATATATGTCGCTCATTTTTGTTCTGTTCACGTTTGAATCGAGAACAGGTTCGCTAGACAATTTCTTTTACTACAATAGTAGAAACATTTTTTTAACTGTTGTACGCAGTGAGCGTTTTTATCTTCGCTAAATGGCACTCATCGTTCACGGTCGAATTTCGAGGGTTGTTAATTTAATGGTGTCGGTAAACTGTTGCATGAAATGCTATTCATAGCAGCGTGAGAATATTTAACAGTTTGTTCCTCCGTCTATTACCATAATAACAAAAGTATTTCTGTGTCATCAAACTTGACATACTCGAGGAAAAGGTTTTATCAGGCTTCTGACCCGTAGTTTATTAACCCTTGATAACCGGGTCGCTATACTTCCATTTAAAATAATTTTACGTTTATCGCATTTTAATTATAACGTTTAAAAAAAGCTGGACCAAGTACGTGATGTCACGGCGGCAAAAAAAGGCGTGTCCACATGACCGACACCGCGAAGGAAATTATCGTCGCAAAAAAAAGAAAAAAGGTCGACGCGCTTCAGCATCGCCAACGAATTAAGTTACACGAGAGCAATTTGAGGGGAAATTGCGTGCAATATTTGCCATTGCCATGGTGGAATCATATTACGCGCGCACGCGCACGCGCACTGGAGGGACAGGGAGAAACACGAGATAGAAAAACCGAGGGAGCCCAAGTTCTCGGCAACATGTGAGCGTTTCACGATGTCGTGTTTCATCCCGTCGAAAAAACGAATTTCGTCCTGACACTTGCACGCATATTTTTCAACGAAATCTCTAGAGAACTCGGATTTTTCGCCTACGGAAACTATCTCCCGGTTTTCTTTCACAGCCTGCGCATATAACCGGATAGCTTGATGTATGAGCCTTGAAGCGCGAGTGACACTCATTTTGTGATTTCCTGCTTATCGTGGCGTCTACGTTTATTCTTAGCACGCTGACATTTCAGAGATTAGAATTGTAAGGCGATTCCGATTCAATTACCATAGAATTTGATTCTTGGAAATTCAAATATATGATCGAATATTTTTTTAACTTCGAGAACATTTTGTATGTGGTCGGGACATTTTGTACATTTATGAAAGGTCACATATGTCGTTGGGTTCATATCATTGCTTTAAATGTTCTCATTGCAAGAATTTATTCTTGTAGGGTGTATTAATATAATTGCAGGTGTAAATAAAAAATAATTAGATTGAAAAATAGAATAGTTTTTTAACCTCAAAAAAATGTTATCATTGCAGGAGCTTATTCTTGTAGGGTATATTAATATAACTGCAAGTGTAAATAAAATATAATTAGATTAAAAAATGGAATAGTTTTTTAACCTCAAAAAAATGTTATCATTGCAGGAGCTTATTCTTGTAGGGTACATTAATATAATTGCAAGTGTAAATAAAATATAATTAGATCAAAAAATGGAATAGTCTTTTAACCTTAAAAAAAGGTTGTCATTGCAAGAATTTATTCTTGTAGGCTATATTAATATAACTGCAAGTGTAAATAAAATATAATTAGATCAAAAAATGGAATAGTTTTATAACCTTAAAAAAATGTTATCATTGCAAGAACTTATTCTTGTAGTATATTAATATAACTGCAAGTGTAAATAAAATATAATTAGATAAAAAAATGGAATAGAGTTTTTTGACCTTAAAAGAGACCCTGAGGAGGTTAATGGTTGTAACAGATGCCGGTTAAATTCTGGAACAGTGTATTTAATTGTGTCAAATTGCGTACCCTCGTGGGTTCGCGTTTCTTTAATGTCTATTAAGAATGTGGATGCATTTAAACATATCATGGCCCTATTACCACGCCATATTTCCCTCTTTAATTAACCTCAATTTGCGGCACATCTGGCGACATAGTTGCCGCCAATTTACTGGCGTTTCGCGTTCTGCAAGCAGTTTGTCGTATCGATAATATCGCGTATCGCTCGTATCGCGTTAGTAAATTGTCAGCGAGATATATTGATCAAGAGGGTTGACAATCGAGTCCATTGTCAGCTTCTATCTACTATGCCCAGTATAACTATGAAACCAGTTTGACTGGATAGTTCTCCATTGAAAAAAATATTCATCTATAATAGCTTCGTGATTCGTGCCAGGGTCTCTTTTTATGGGCAAAGAAAGAAACGGCAAAAAAAAGGCTAATAAACGAGAGTGCAAACATTGATACAGGTCAAACAAAAACATTTGAAATTCAAATATTGATTGGTAAAAAATGAAAGCAAACAACGTGCGAGGATGAGTCGAAAAAATACGTCTGTACATAAAACATGGCGCAGGGAATACTATAGCTCGGTAAACGAGCAATTTACATGTGACCGGTGTTCGGTTATTCTACGAACACGTAACCTTCTATCTAATCAGTTCCGGTAATCTATCCAAGAACATAGACTCATGCAAATGAATTAACCTTTAGTCCCTTCTCGTCTTTCTTTTTCTACCTTCGCTTTTTCTTATTTGTCACGGAGTTTTGTTTGAGTCTATCGTCGGGAGATTCTAACCTCTTTGAATTTCAATGCACCAACTCCCGGCTAGATATTCATGATATTCCTTTCCGCTTTTCATCGATGA